AAACAACGGCACTTCGCCAAGTCTGAAACCTGGTGAAGCTCCATCAGGTCATTGAATTCATACAAGTGATCCTGCATATCAGAATTTCCATCGAATGCCCGCATATCAGGCATTCTAAATCTTGATGGGAGAGGGGCGACTAATACCGCCGAAGAAAAGGGAGATGCTGCTGCGACCTGCCCTTGCTCATTTTACTAAGCTTTTAGCTGATTTAGAGCTCGCTATAGCTCCTCGATTTGAGGAAGCGGAGCTATCTGGGGATTGCTTTCCCCCATGCGAGTTCAACCCTCGCTATTGCAATTGAGGAAAGTTCGAAGGTCGGATTCCTGTTCGCCTTGGCCGGCAGTTCCGGTCGCCCTTGACACACGTTGGCTAAAGTCATGTGATGGCGATGAATGGTGCGGGGAATTTTCATGACCTCCGCGGTGGTATGAATCGCCCCGCGAAGTGTAGGAACCTCCCGCACGATGACGATCGGGATCGTTTTTCTAGCGATGATGAGAATCGCCCCGTCTATCACTTTTATAGGAGTGCTCGTGCAACGTGGCATGGGACGGCTCGGGATGCAACCTTTCACCGAGCCTTAACGCCACGGGTATCTTACTCGGGACGTGGTCGGTGTTTGCCGGCCCTTTGGAGCCCTTAGGCCCGCTGTTCTTCACTTGCTTACCCTTCCTTCGACGTGCTGCAGTGCGCGCGGCCTGGGCTATCGCCCTTTTTCGCGCTTTCGCGCGACCTGCAAGCGTTTTTTGCAGTTGCACCACCCTGTTTGATTCGGGTGGCATGCCCCGGTCCAAACAGTCTAACCTTTGGTTGACCGTTTGGAGAGTATTGTTGAACCTCTCTAGATAGCTCATGATGGTAGGGTCAAGCTGTGAGCTTGAAGAGATATCCCCCACGGTATTTTGTGGAACTGAGGGCACCTCGGGAGAAGTGTCCTCCTGTACTTAGGGGATCTCCTCAGTACCATGATTGGTTCGCTCAAGTCCGAATCGGCAAGCCATTTGCTGTTGTAGGACCAGTTAATCAAAGATTCTCCTGATGAAGGACGAATACTAAATCAGGCCATCCTTCTAGTGCCAAATTGTTGATGCATGATTTTGACACCAACTAAATGCACGTGTGAAATGTTGAGCTGGCCTAGAAGACACACGTGAATGGGGGATCGAGAATGTAAATGGTGGAAAGACAATGTTTAAAGTGGTTCGGATGCTTAAACAAGCGAATCCTACATCTACTGATATTGTATTTATATTTGAAGGGTCAGGTCGCGACTTAGCGAGCTGACTTTAGAGTATTGAGAATACAAAGGAGAGAGAGAATAAGGGTGCGTTTGGTTTAGTATTTTGGATAGGATTTTGGGGATAATATTGGGTTATTGGATAGGGGAGTATTACGAGGTAAATTTTAAAAATTTGTAAAAAAACCCTTAGGTTTACTAATTTAATTAAAGACCCTAATAGATAAAATGACAAAAACACCCCCACCACTTGCAGTGCCAGATTCCGGCCACCACCGTCGGAATCTGGCCGAAAAATTTTGTTACGGCACAGACCGGTCGAATCTGTGCTGTAACACGTCGTTATGGCCTTTTTCGGCCAGATCCATGGTGGATCTGGCCGGAAAAGGCCAGATCTACGGTCTGTTATGGATGTCGACGGCCGGAAAAGGCCAAACGACTGCCATCTTTGGCCGTCAACGACGGCCATCTTTGCGACGGCCAAAGATGTGGCCGTCGTTTTCGGTCAACGACGGCCAAGATTTGGCCGTCACTGAAGGCCAGATCTGGCCTTTTCCGGCCAGATCCGTGGTGGATCTGGCCGGAAAAGGCCACATTGGTGAACTTCCGGCCATTTCTGGTCGGAAGTTAGGCCGTTGTACAGATTCTGACTATCACTGACGATGGTTGCCGGAATCTGACAAGTTGGGTTGATGGGGGTATTTTTGTTAATTTTTAAACTTTTTTTCAGGGGGTATTTAGTGAAATTAATAACCTTATGGGGTCTAAAAGTAATTAAAAAATAGGGTAATATTTCTGGAATAATGTGCCAAACATTATTTGGAGAATAGGATCCAGAATATGGATAAAAATACTAAGCCAAACATAGCCTAAGCTATTATAGAGCGAGATCAGCTAATCAAGAGTAAAAATGAGCGAATCCCACAAACGGGAGAGAAGCTCCTTATTTATAGTGGGATACATTGAGGTAATGATTACTAAATCCGTAAAAAGGGGTCAAGTACCGTGCAAATCCTCCTTTGCGTCCCGTTGTTCACCTACTCGCATGATTTCCACGGTTCATGCAGGGATTGGACACGTGGACGACCTCCAACCTCTCGTCAGTCTGGCGCGCACCCACTGCACTGGCAGGAGCATGCTGCTCACGCCAGCATGCGACGTGGTTGCAAGATCTGCCTAGACTCTGACCACTTGTGCTGACTGGGCTTTGAGTCAACCTTGTTTTTCCAGGCGTAACAACCTCCTTTTGCTCTTTTATCCTTAAGGGGACTTGAACTTGGGAGACCATGTTAGATTCTTCTCTTGGGAGATCATTTTAGATCTTTCTCTTACTCTTTTATCATTAAAGGGATTCAAACTTGAAAAATCATGTTCAAATACATAATTCAAACTTTATACATTTATACTTTTGTGATATCTCTTCTCAAATATTTATATTGACACAGTCAAAGATAATTATAAACACATGATTAATAATTTTAATTCATTGTTAGTCATATTGAAAAAGAAGGGATTTGTTATATTACCGACTCAATAACATTGTATTCATTAATTTGCATTAGAGTGTAAGAACATGATCGCTTCGAGGGGTAATAATTTTGATTCATTGTTTAGTCATGTATACGTGTTCATACTTCATATCTTTCTACTAGCGATAAGTTTTTATTTTTAATTTACAAACGAATTGAAGTGATTGAGTAAAGCGTGCAAAAAGAGAGAAGAGAGTCAAAGTCCTTTCTGACTGTGTAATTAATTGCTGAAGCAAAATCTCCGGGAATTACTCCGGTGATTGCTTGCTATATTTTGGTACAGCCTAGTGCCAATGGGATGGGAATCGGCGCTTCATCTCTATGACTGTTTCCCAAAGAAAGAGGAAATGTATAGCTGAAACTAGAGTAGAGACTAGAGACAACTCTATCTACACAAAATATTCTCTGCTCATTAACATCACTCATATGTCGAGATAAATACATTTACCCCTTGGGGTTGCGGTATATTTTTCCATATCCTACAATTTAAACTACTACATAAATTCTTCCATTCTAACATATATTAAGCCATTGAAAGACAAAATAGATAATTCATTTGTACACATAATGGTAGAAAAGATAATTCACTCGTCTTTAGGTAAAAAATGTTATTTCAAGTTAGGATTTGATTATCGGCTGTTAATTTAAGAGGGGTACTTCTAGTATTTGAAAGTTCACAATCAATTGATCATGATATTAGACCAAATCCCTGGGGTGGATTAAGTCTTTCTCTCCACAACACCTATTTCTCCGAGACTTCATTTATGTAGTTTTTTCATTTTCTAAGAAAGTGTTAACGTAAAATTATAACTTCAGTTTTATAATAAAGTGCCTTGTAAGTCTAATGAGTAACGACAATGTAACCGAGTTTGGGCAAACAGGTATTAGTGATAATAATTTAAACTTGATAAGGCAAAACGGTATTAGTGATACATTATTCAAACTTTGAGGGTCTATTTAATAAAAGAAGCAAAAGTTGTCTTCGATAATAAAGGGAGAACGACTTACACATACCCAAGATTTATCGTAACGACAAGTTGGTACCCAAAAGGTTTTGAAATGACAAATAGATACTTTCCGTCATGTTCTGTTAGTGATTTCTGTTTATTACTGTTTATTAATAGTGAAAAGACTAAAATGCCCTTAAAAGTTTGAATTTTAGTTTTTTATAAATTTAAAAATTTCAAAAAACCCCCTAAGTTTACAAATTTCACTAAATACCCCAATATATAAAAGTTTTATAAAATAACAAAAACACCCCCCCGCAAGTGCCAGATTCCTGCCACCACAGCCGGAATCTGGCCGGAAATTTGCGTTACGACACAGACCCGTCGGATCTGTGTCGTAACGCGTCGATCTGCCTTTTCCGGCCAGATCCGTGGCTGATCTGGCCAGAAAGGCCGATCTACGGCTAGTCTGGCCGTCGACGCCGCAAAACTCCATCTGCGGCGTCGAAGGCTAGATCAGCCACGGATCTGGCCGGAAAAGGCCAGATCTGGCTGCTGCTTCGACGGCCAGATCTTGCCTTTTCCGGCCAGATCCGTGGCGGATCTGACCGGAAAAGGCCAGATCGGCACGTTACGACACAGATCCGACGGATCTGTGTCGTAATGCAGTTTTCCGACCAATTCCGGCGATGGTGGCCGGAATCTGGCACTGGGGGTGGTGGGGTGTTTTTGTCATTTAGAAACCTTTTTATATATGGGGTGTTTAATTACATTAGCAAACCTAGGGGGTTTTTTAGAAATTTTTAATTTATAAAAAACAAAAATTGAAACTTTGAAGGGCTTTTAGTCTTTTCACTATTAATAAACAAAAATCATTAACAGAATATAACAGAAGGTACTTATTTGTCGTTTCAAAACCTTTGGATACCAACTTGTCGTTACGGTAAACTTTGGTATGCACAAGTCGTTCGGCCCGATAATAATTCGGAAACCTTAGGGGTAGTATGAGATATTCTCTCATTTTTCATTAATACAGTTCTATTGACTGAAAATCAAAATGGTTCATACATTGGATTCGGCCCAAACCATAACCCACCCACCCAATTCTCATCCCTAGTTCCATTCACGGAGCGTGCAATGCACGCGCCCCTACAAAAACCCGCGCCACACTCTTTCCCGCCATTACCAAACGTTCCACATACATGTATAAATAAATTAATTAATTAATTAACAAACATATTTTGACATAAAAAAGAACCCACTTCAGTTTACACTCACGAAGAAATAATTCATTCTTCTAAGAACCCAGAACAAAACCCTCTTCTCTTCTGCCATCAAATGGCGACAACATTATTGAAGAACAGAACAAACTTCCTGAACTCAAACTAGGTAACCAAACCCTTGTCTTATGTTTCTCTTTTCTGGGTTTTTAATGTTTTGGTTTGATTTTTTTTTTTTTTAAATTAACAACTTAATATGAAGTGAAATGTTTTATTTGTTTGAATGTTGTTGTGGTTAGATGCAAAGCAAGCTCGAGGGTTTCTTTCATTCTACAAAACCCTACCAAATGTAAGCCCGCTTCTCCTTTTTGTCATGTGGGTTTGTCTTTGTTTGAACTGAAACTGTAAATTTTGCTCCTAGAAGAAGTAATAATCTGTTTGGTTTCTGAGAAAATGAAGCACTTGAAATGATGAAAGAAGACCACAAATTTTGGGGTTTGTGGGTTTTTTTTTGGTGTGCGTCGTTGTGCGTGATAAATGAAGGTTTTTGTTAACCAGGCTTGTTTGATGGCGGCTTTAACGTGGGACTTTGAATCAAGTAATTAAGTAAAAGTGTGAGATTACAATCAAAATATGTTTAAAATTTCTAAATTTTCTTTCTTTGTGCTGCAGGACCCGAGGGCTGTTCGGTTCTTTGATCGTCGGGTTAGTTCATGCTCTGGTTGTTAACATCTGTTGTGCTGCTTTTCATATTGATTTTGATACTTTCGTCTATGAATTAGTTCTAGTCTCACATTCTGGAGAATTATGATGCTGGCATAACCTAAAGGGCTTTTGGTTTTTTCTTCAATATTTTAATTGTTCTGTTTTGAAAAGGACTAAATCTCTCTTCTCAGAGATCCTTTATAAGGAATTTTATGTGGATGACTTGTTTCTAGGAAACCTAGTACAATATAATGCTGTGTATTCCCTTTAACAATTTGTCCATTTGAAGAAATGTTTCCTTTCTTGCCAGTATTGTTTGCAAAAACTCTTTTTACCCTCACCCAATATTAAAAACAACTTTCTTAAGGACCCAACATCCTAAATGTTGTGAACTGCTTTAAGGTTGGCATTTTTCATACGTCAGATGTATGCCATGCCTAAGTTATCTCTCTTGAAGAAATTTAGTTGGATTATGTGATCTTTTATGTCATATTTAGATGGAGTAGTGTTATCATATTTCTCTTTTTCATTTTACATATCTTTATTCATTGGTTTTCAAATTTTTTCTCATTTCTCATACACGCAATGTTCTGACACAAACTCATACATCTGTAAAGGCGCTTATCGGATAGATAATCTAACTTTCTTATGTTTTTGCATATGGGATTCTTCCTCTCTCTCTCTCGCACTTGTTGTATGTTATAACATGCTAATTATAAAGCAAACTTGCTGTGGATACCTGGCCTGCCCTTTTGAACTTTTAATTCTCATTATCAATGTACTTTTTGTTTCCTATTAAAAAAAAATGCTAGTTTTAAATTGTTGTTTAATGTGTTGGATCTGTTACTGTTTATAAAATTAAGTTCCACCTTAAAGACGAACACAATATATATTTATTTCTTGTGACACTCTGGCTACAGCATTTCCCTGGTTGGTGGAATTTATATCATGTTCTTTATAAATATTCCTCTTCCTTTAATGGAGCTCTAGGATAATTTTACTTTTTGTAGTTCACGTGTTATATAGTTATCATGCTTAAGTAGTTTTGTGTAAATATGCAGGACTACTATACTGCTCATGGTGAAAATGCAACTTTTGTTGCAAAGACATACTACCGTACTACTACTGCTATGCGACAATTGGGCAGTGGATCTGATGCTCTTTCCAGTATAAGTGTTATTAAGAACATGTTTGAAACAATTGCTCGTGATGTTCTTCTGGAGAGAACAGACCACACTCTTGAGCTGTATGAGGGTAGTGGCTCAAATTGGAAACTGGTGAAAAGTGGAACTCCTGGTAATCTAGGAAGTTTTGAAGATGTTCTGTTTGCTAACAATGAGATGCAGGATTCCCCTGTCGTAGTTGCACTATGTCCAAACTTCCGTGAAAATGGATGCACTGTTGGGTTGGGTTATATTGATTTAACTAAGAGAGTACTTGGAGTGGCTGAATTTCTTGATGATAGCCACTTTACAAATTTGGAATCATCTTTGGTTGCTCTTGGTTGTAAGGAATGCCTTTTGCCTATAGAGTCTGGAAAGTCTAGTGAGTGTAGACCTCTGATTGATGCTTTGACCAGATGCGGTGTGATGTTAACTGAGAGAAAGAAAAATGAGTTTAAAACAAGGGATTTAGTGCAGGATCTTGGTAGGCTGGTTAAAGGTTCCATTGAACCAGTTCGAGATTTGATTTCTTGTTTTGAATTTGCTCCTGGTTCTTTAGGGGCGTTATTGTCTTACGCTGAGTTACTTGCAGATGAGAGCAATTATGGAAGTTATTCAATTCGAAAGTACAATCTAGAAAGCTACATGAGGTTGGATTCTGCTGCTATGAGGGCACTAAATGTCATGGAAAGCAAAACTGATGCAAACAAGAATTTCAGTTTGTTTGGTCTCCTGAATAGAACCTGTACTGCTGGGATGGGAAAGCGATTACTTCATATGTGGTTAAAGCAGCCTTTATTAGATGTGAATGAAATAAATGCCAGGCTGGACCTGGTACAAGCATTTGTTGAAGATACTGCACTTCGCCAAGATCTGAGGCAGCATCTGAAAAGAATCTCTGATATAGAACGACTGATGCATAACCTTGGGAGGAGAAGAGCTGGTCTGCAGCATATAGTAAAACTTTATCAGGTAGGTGCTGTTAGTTGTTCATGTTATCTAATTGATAGAGTGTAATGGTGGCCATGTGCAATTAGCATGACTGATAGATTTTAAAATTTTCAACTTAAAAGTAGTTTTTAATTGGTAGGCAACAAGCCAGAAGTCTTCTCCACTGGACTTACTAAAATTGTTGTTTCAGTCTTCTCCAGTTTACTTTTTTTTTTTCATCACTTGGTTAAGAGTGATTACTTGGACTCTTATAGTGCAATCAGTTCCTATTTTAAGAGAGTGGTAGAATTGAGGGTTACAAAATTACCTTTTTATGTTTCTTTTCTTTCTACATGCTTCATTATGTTAATAATTTTACAATATGCTAGCTCATTATTGTTTGTGAATGTTTACAAGTCATGAACTGAATTACACATCCAGATAAGTATATATCTTTCCTTTGAACAGTAGGTACATGTGTTTTTGAATTGATCTCATCTTTCTGATGCAGTCAAGTATCCGACTTCCATACATTAGAAATGCCCTGCAACAGTATGATGGACAGTTTTCATTGTTGATCAAGGAAAGGTATTTAGATCCGCTGGAGGTTTTAACTGATGATGATCATTTGAATAAGTTCATTGGTCTGGTAGAAGCTTCTGTTGACCTTGATCAACTTGAAAATGGAGAATACATGATCTCATCAAGTTATGATCCTGCTTTATCAGCGCTAAAAGATGAGCAGGAGTCTCTGGATTGCCAAATACACAGTTTGCATAAACAAACAGCTTATGACCTTGATTTGCCTCTAGATAAGGCCTTGAAGTTAGATAAAGGCACACAGTTTGGACATGTCTTCAGAATTACAAAGAAGGAAGAACCAAAAATAAGGAAAAAGCTCAGTACTCAATTTATTGTCCTCGAAACACGGAAAGATGGAGTGAAATTCACTAATACAAAGCTTAAAAAATTAGGGGACCAGTACCAAAAAGTTCTTGACGAGTACAAGAATTGTCAAAAAGAGCTTGTTAACCGAGTTGTTCAAACTGCAGCAAGTTTCTCTGAGGTATTCATTCATAGTAACTTATTGCTTCTGGTGGTTCTTGTTCTGACCAGAGAAAGTTTGATTCTGCAGGTATTCGAGTCTTTGGCTGGCTTGCTTTCGGAATTGGACGTCTTGCTCAGTTTTGCTGATTTAGCTTCCAGTTGTCCAACTCCATACACAAGACCAGACATCAATCCACCCGTAAATATATGCTAACTATTTGATGCCTTTTGTTTTTCTTGCCTTGATTTCATTTTTCTCTTTGTTAGATACAATGCTTCTGTGTTTCACATATTTGTACAACAGGATGTGGGAGATATTATATTAGAAGGGAGTAGACACCCTTGTGTCGAAGCACAAGATTGGGTGAATTTTATACCAAATGATTGTAAACTTGTGAGTATTCTTAGGATCAAACTGAGAAAGATGTTTTATTTTTCTAGACTTCATAAATTAGTGTGACTCACAATTTCCTTTTTGTTTTTTCATGTATCAGATCAGAGGAAAGAGTTGGTTTCAGATCATCACTGGACCTAACATGGGTGGAAAGTCCACATTTATTCGGCAGGTGTGCTATTTATAATTCAATTTAGATGGATCTATAATGCTATCAGAGTAATTAATTGCTTCCCACCTAGTGACTTTAAGGTTGTGTGTTTGGTATTTTGCTACTGTTTTATGATGGATAAGTATCAATAGAGAGTTGTTGCTGCTTATTTTGTATGATTTTATCATTTGCAACCCTTAGTAGCAAATCTAAGACCAATAACCATCTAAATTTTTTCTTACATGCAATTCTTTGAGCTCTTAAATTACTAGGTGAGAAATTCTGATGTCTGTTTTGGTTGCATTTACAGATTGGTGTAAATGTTTTGATGGCACAAGTTGGTTCTTTTGTTCCTTGTGACAAAGCTAGCATTTCTGTACGTGATTGCATTTTTGCTCGTGTTGGTGCTGGTGACTGCCAAGTGAGTTCCATTGGTTTTATCTTGAAGTTTCAACTTCTGAGATCTTGGTATAATAAGTTGAATCACAAAGATTTCTGCTGTGTAATTTATCAGTCTATTACCTTTTCTTCTAATAGTAAGAAGTCTTTTTTATCCTTCACGCCTTGGATTATGTATTTGTGTTTCAATTTCTGTGCTGGTTAGGGAAGATTAAAGTGGCAACAACTATATGGCTTGAGATGCCTTCGCAATTTGTTTGTGTTGATTATTATTAGTGTTAGCTACAAAACCTTGATGATGGTTAGCCAGTTCAGGTTGAGATATCTTTGCAGTGAAAAAGTTCTGTTCAAATGTCTCTTAGTGAAGGTACTACTTCTTGGGGTCAAGTTGTTTCATTTCATATTGTCCAATCTAAACCTAGTGCTAGCTGCAAACGTAAATTTCATGAATAGGAATAGTACATCAGATTAATCAACTTTACTACTGTAACTTAGCACCCTTTTTTAACCAATTAGGTCAAATTGAAATTTGGTTACTTACTGAGTGGATCTGCAACTATTTTGGATAATGGGCTTGCTTGTGTCAAGTGTTAGGAGCACTATTGTGATAAACTTATATTTGTGCTACACTGTTCATTGACAGTGCTGGACAAGTTACTGCCTAAATTATAGATTATACTGCAGAATGTCAGACTATTTTTGGCCCACATCCTTCTGGGACCATCTGCCATGCTTCTGCCATTGTATCTGTAACTAGTCTGTCCAGAGAGTGGGTAATTGAACATATCTAGATGATTGAATGGTTCTACAAGCATTACTGACTGTTTTTTTATAACATAAGTTTAAGCACTAGTATTCTAGCTAGTTAATGCTTTGCTTCAGTGCAGTGTATGTTATATAACTGCTTGACCATTTTGATCCTAAAGTAGAGATTTGTGTTGGTTGTCATGAAAAGAAGAATATAATATGTTATTTCCTTGTGATAAAGTTTAATGGTCCTCTTTATTTTTTTTTTTTTTTTTCTTTTTTTCTTTTTTCAGCTACGTGGAGTTTCTACCTTTATGCAAGAAATGCTTGAAACTGCATCAATATTGAAGGGAGCTACCGATAAGTCATTGATAATCATTGATGAATTGGGACGTGGGACATCAACTTATGATGGATTTGGTTTGTTTCACTTAAGGCTTATTTTCTTAAGGCTTTCAGTTGCCCTTTCTCTCTATCTTCTACACACACACACAGACGCACACTTACTTATTTCCAAATCAAAACGTAGAGCTAGGGGAAGGTGATGGGTTGGAAAATAACTGACAAGCTGATGGTTCATTGGTGTTGTGAGATGAAGCCTAGAGAATCCTATTCTAGCCTGCAAATCATTTTCACCTATGTATATTTGAAAAAACAAAGAGAAAAACTGAAAAGAGTGAAGAAAACAATTATTATGATTAGCTGTTTGTTAGTTGTAAGAGATGTGGACTGAAACCTACCTGCAATAAAGAAATGTATCACAGCATGACTCAAGCACATTTTGTAATTTCTGCTGGTGATGAGTATTCAAATTTTTTCACCACCCATGTCTCTTTTGCATCCATGACTATTACCTTCTGGCTCTGCTCTTTTGGGCTAGGCTGGGATGTAAGCCTTCTGCTTTTGGCTTAATTTAGTTAGACATCTATATAACAAAAATCTGAGTTCCATCAGGCTGTTTCAGAAACTGGTTTCTTCTGCTGTTATCATGTTACAGTTGGAAGGCATTGTCATGCTTTTATTTTACTTTAACAATTAAGTTTCGAACATACAATTGGAGTTTTCTGATAAAGTGAATGTTTTTTTACGTATTGCTTTAGATCTCTGAATTTGCTGATGTATGCTTTATGATCAGAACTGAGTTTACAATATGTTTGCTCTGATTATCAGGTTTAGCGTGGGCTATATGTGAGCACCTGGTTGAAGTGATTAGAGCACCGACTTTGTTTGCAACCCACTTCCATGAATTGACTGCATTAGCTGATGAAAATGCCAATCATGAACTCCATACAAAGCAAATTGGTGGTGTGGCCAACTATCATGTCAGTGCACATATTGACTTGTCAAGTCGCAAGTTGACTATGTTGTACAAGGTAGGTCCTCTCATTGAGTAATTGTTTTAGGCCTTTTCAAGAATAAAAAAAATATGTAGAATGTCTTGCTATTTATTGGTCATGATCTATTTAGTTTTATAGGTTTGCTATTATTACTTTCCTGCACCTGTCAGTTTTTCCTGCTTCCTAAGTTTTTCTCATTTTGAAAGCACTTTAGAACATAGCTTTGTTGACTTTATTCTAGCTATCAAAGTTTGTGACCTTTTTTAGAAAATGCAAAACCCAACAAGGAATAGTGAATCTGGCTTAAGTGGGCACCTGCTGTTGTATAAAAATTGTGATTATTTGTTGTGTCCATCACTCTGCTTAGGGTTGTATTAGCTATGAGAGGCCTAAGAAGTATTAGTTTTAGGCATTATCAAAAGGTAGGTAGTTAATGCCTGCTTGAGACATAGGCAGTTGTTGAGATGAAACATTCAGCTAAGTGTTTTGGGGCATGTCAGGGCCTGCCTTCATTTATTTGGTTCTGAAAATAGTAGATTCCAATTAGCAAGAAGTTACTCTTATCTCTGTATCTGCAGCAAAAATAGTGAAAAAAGGATTCTTGATTTACATTTCTATATTGGTCATGGGTCATAGTCCACAATGCTTTCAATCGTCTTAAGGGTGTTTTATAGAGCTATATGGTATAATAAATAACAATGGAATATGTCATCACCGATATTCTTTGATTCACTTTGTGGAGGTTTGTATTATATAGCACGTCTATGACAATTATTTCTCTTTGCATGTAGTTCATGCTGTAATTTCTCTCACAGCGGAGTTGAATTTTGAGCTTGGAATGTGATAGCACTATTCTTAAAATATAAGTGACCGAGTAAAATAATTGTCTGATTTTCAAATAGAAGAACTTCTTTTCTTGTGAACTTGTGTATAAATATTGCAGATCTGCATGAATTGGGAACCTTTACACATTTTAACAAAGTGGTAGACAAATAATTGTTCACCGATTGAGACACTGCAAGATTTTTTTTCTTTACATTTTTTCCTTTGCTACTTTAGTGCTGGTTCACATACTTTATTTAGAAAAACTGCATCCAGTAATACTTCTCCATCTGTTAATACATTTTTCAGGTTGAACCAGGGGCTTGTGATCAAAGTTTTGGTATTCATGTTGCAGAATTTGCAAATTTTCCTGAAAGTGTTGTTGCCCTTGCTAGAGAAAAAGCTGCTGAATTGGAAGATTTCTCGCCTTCTGCAGTAACTTCAAATGATTCTAAAGAGGAGGTGTGGTTTGTTGTTATCTTACGATGGTTATTATAAGACATGGTTTACCATGTTGCTTCAGTTTCTAATTTTATCATGGCAGCTATTGTTTATGGTAATAAGCAGCAAATTGATAATGATTATTAGAATCATTGTCATGATAATGCCGCTTCTTGATTCGTTGGAAATACAACAAATTAAAATATTGTAACAAAATGGGAATCAATCTAGTATTTACTTACTGGAAATGCATTATTATTATTATTATTATTTTTTTTGGTTTCTTGGCCATCAAATGAGCCTTGTGATTCTGTTAATTATTTTCAGGTGGGATCCAAAAGAAAGAGAGTGAGCGATCCCAGTGACATGTCCAAAGGTGCAGCCCGGGCTCACGAATTTCTGAAGAAATTCTCTGATTTGCCATTAGAGAAAATGGACTTGCAGCAGGCTCTGCAACAAGTAAAAAAGATGAAGGATGACTTGGAGAAAGATGCAGTAGACTGCGACTGGCTCCAGCAATTCCTCTAGTTCTCCTTCAAACCTTAGTGTGAGAACATATGTAAATCCCATCTCTGTATATGAGACATGGTTGTTGGATTATCGGCTAGAGGTATCAAATCAAACGCGCCTGATCTCCATTTTTGTCTATACTACGAAGGGAATCGGAAGTGGCAGCTGGCAACTTCAGTGGTTATTAGCTTTCCTTTTTTAGGTCAAATTCAAAATGATCATATAATCGAGCGTAGCCACATTGTTGAGATTGATTTCTGTGTTTCCCTTTGTCGGAGTGAGAGGTGACAATGTAAGTAGTTCTTGTCCCTCTGTGTGTATGATTCCTGGCTTATTTTATTATATGCGTCCCCATGGTTTTGCGAAAGCATTTGTTCTACCTCTGGATTTCTTTCTAAATAACATTATTTTGTTTAAACAATCAGTAATCTCAAACTAAGCCTAAATCTAGTTTAATTGCTGCCGGAAATGTGTGTTTTGTTCATTCTTTTTATGGACTTTTCATTTTCTCCACCATTTACCTTAAACCCTAAACCCTACATTATCTTTCCTTTTTGTTTTCTTTGTTTGCCCAAATTTAATATCTTTCTTTTGACGGAAATATCAATTATATTGCCAAAAAGGTTACTATCATGGTATCCAGTTATACAGATAGCTTGAAATTTTTATTTAATATGATAATCAACAATTAGCGAACAGTGTCTCAAAGTTTTTAATATAAAGATTCAATGATTTAGAAAATTTAGAGTTAGGGTTTATATAAGAATTAAAAGTAAAAATAAAAATATAAAAATAGAGTATAATTGTATTTAGAAATTATTATGTTGACAAACGAATTTCACAAACTTTCTTTTAGAAACTCATTGTTATAACTAATAATTGGTTTTTGATAAATCAACTATCAAATTTGTAAGGTTTGTTTGTTCTACTTGTCTTTATTGTTTTTTAATTCTAAAACTACTTGATGATGAGGTGGTCTTGTAATCATACTCGTGTGCCCCATAATCTATAATGATAAATCGATAATGTTACTTTACTATTGGATATAAAGAAGATGAATATAGTTTGGGCCCATTTCGTTATTTCATTTTGGGAAATTTAAAACTAAATATTTAAGTACTGCAATATTCTAATAAATCAAACTGAAATAAATTATATAAAATTAATTAAAACTAAAGCAACTGAAGGTTTTTTTCTTTTTTTTTTTTTTTAACAAACTAGTATTGAAATTGGAGAAACTACAAAAGAAAAAATAATAAATAAAATTTAACATTTTAAACATAAAAAAGGTGCAAAACAAGTATTTTACAATTTACAATAATATATTAAAATAAAAATGACAAAGAACAGGTAATATTTACCAAATTATATTGATTAAATATGTGCTTTGAGATATATGTTACTTGTATATATATTTAACTTTATTGTTTATTTTTTACTTTTATTGCTCCCATGATGTCACCTTTTTTTTTTTTTTTTTAACCGGGATATTATTGTCAGTTTGTGTGCACGTCAATAATCTTTAAGATCTTTTTACAATATTATTGTGATAGGTGGTCTCAAGATTTGAATTTGAGAATTCAAAGAAAAGAACAAATCTCTTTAACCGTTAAACCTATCTTTTATGGTTAATTTTTAATAATGTTGATAATGTTACAAACCACTTTATGTAAAATCAAGGATGACTTTTGGACACAATTATTTGATTAATTACGAGTGATAAATAAAATAATAAAAGTCAAAGAAAGATATTAAGTATAAATAAAAATAACCCCTAGATACGAAAATCTTTAAGAATGATCCGAATTTAGATAGAAAAATATTAAAATTATCTTAATTACTAATAACGTTTTTTATATTGTATATTAAAAATATAAATCATTTTTAATGTGAATCTTTGAAAAATCAAAATTTAAGTGTGTTTGTTTTATTATTTTAAATAATATTTTTGAAAAAGTTGAATTAGACTATTATTATTATGACAAGATTTGAATTTGAAAATATATTTGGTAAGATTATTTTTTTAATCACCTATATTCGTTAATTTAGATAAACACTCCCTATAATAAAAGTTTTAAAATTAACAAAAATACCCTTACTTACTCATTAAATGTCGACAGTCGACCACCACCATTAGAGGGTGGCCGAAAGTTGCTGGAATGGTGCACTATTGGCTGGTTGGAGGTGTTTAGTTAAGTTAACAAATCTAATGGGTTAAAAAAATTTAGGGTGCGTTTGGTTTAGTATTTATATCCATATTCCTAATCTTATTCTCCAAATATTGTTTGGCACATTATTCCAGAGATATTACTATATATTTTTTAATTACTTTTAGACCCCTTAAGCTTGTTAATTTCACTAAATACCCCCAGAAAAAAGTTTAAAAATTAACAAAAACACCCCCCTCAACCTATACTTGTCAGATTCTGGCAACTACCGTCTGTGGTTGCTGGAATTTGTACAATGGCCTACCTGCTAACCAGAAAAGGTCGAAAGTTTACCGAGCTGATGGCCAAATCTTGACCATCGTTGATCGAAAACAATGGTCATATCGACGGCCAAAGATGGACTTCTTTTGACATTTTTCAACTGTCGACGACAATATTTAGCCGTAGATCTGGCTGAAAAAAATCATAGCGACGTGTTACGTCTGTGTCGTAACGAAATTTTTTGGCCAGATTCTAGTGGTGGTGGCCGGAATCTGGCACTGGAGGTGGTGGGAGTGTTTTTGTCATTTTATATATTAGGGTGTTTAATTAAATTAGTAAATCTAAGGGTTTTTTCATAAATTTTTAAATTTTATCTTATAATACTCTCTTATCTAACTATCTAATATTATTCCTAAAATATTATCCAAAATAATAAATTAAAGGCACCCTTAAATATTTTAAGCATAAGAATTTTGAGAATAATAAGACATTAATATTTTGAATAGGATGATAGGTATAGGAAACAAACAGCTGTGGATCACTTCGAAAGTAACACCTGTCCTTTTCTCGATACGTGATGGCTAAAATCCAACAGTGAAGCGGTGCTCCTTACTTTAATAATGCTCCTAACACAGCCCGGTCAGCTAAATTTTGTGACCAACCATTCAAACAAAGCTGTGTAGACACATGTCAAAAAACAATTGGCTATTCCTGTACACCCGAAAGACAGGTGTCAAGTACTTCTCCTTTCAAAACCCTAAGTCCCTAACCGGCCCGTCTTTGGAAACACATCAATGTCAACTAAATTAACGACACGTTGCTTAAATTTACCAAATTAGGCAATCCTTTATTTCTTATTGTCGGCTCTAGTATCTAAAATAATATTTTTTTCCGTTAGTATTTTGTTAAGATTTTGATTTTTAATTTAAGGGATTACTAAATCATACAATAATTCCTTCTAATAATCACATTTTTTTAGCTGATCTTTGTATCGGTATCTTTTTATAACTTACCATTTCAAGTATTGTTTTTACTGAACTTTTTATATAAAATCTTGATTAAACGATAAATATTTATTTTTAAACAGTTTATTGTTATTCAACCGATTAGTTATGAAATACTCTTTATATGATTTATCAATATTTTTAAGTGTGATTTGTAAAAGTTTATACGAGTAAACTGTACTTTCCGACCAAAAAAGAAGGTTTATATTTTAAACTAAAATGATTTTTACACTTTGTGGGATTACTAAAAATTCAATTTAAACAAATTAATGGTTATGTGACAATAGAGGTTACAGTAGGCCCCAAGAAATTACGCGGCTTTAAATGGTAATAGTGTCAACGAACTTTATGTAAGGACAGAAGCGTCTTTTTGCAATCAGTAATGAACTTTTGCGTTTGAGACGACGTGGACGGAAAGTTAAGAGAGAGAGAGAATAAAATATTAATAATGAAAAGTTTGAAGTTAATGAGGGCGAGAGAGAGTTAATGCGTTTTGTTTTATGTTCATCAAATCAAGAAACAAACAAACACACAGATTATCAATGGCACTCAGTGAAACCTGAAACGTCGTCGTTCCGTGAATTATCTGAATTTAGAGTGGTTTGGACAAAGAGGAAGGAGGAGGAGAAGATGAGCTGGAGAAGAGTGTTGAAGTCCGGACAGGCTGTGGTTGCACATAGCCTTCTCTTCACTGTCACGCTATTGCTTGTTCTCAAGCTCGATCACGTCGTTTCTTACTCCTGGTGGTCAGTTCGTTTTCTCTTTGTTTTTTTATTATTTGCTTTTGCTTTTGCTTCTGATTTGATTTTGATTTTGATTGAACTACAGTTGTTGTTATCATTTTCATGTTTCGTTGTTGTTGTTGAAATATTTTCAGAAATTGCGGGATTTGTTAGGTGGAATTCAGTTTATTTATTACTTTTTATCATTTTTCTGAAAAAAAAGGAAATTCATGAATGAATCGAAGATATTGAATTGTAAGTCGTTTTTTTGGACGTTAAAATTGTAAAATTTGATGAATTGATACTTTGCATGCATAGAGAGGGGACTTTATTTAAGAAAAGAAGAAGAGGACAAGGAAATTTTTGAATCATGAAAAGAGAATTCGTTATAGTTAGAGAGTAGAGAGTTTTGTTTGTTTCAAAAATATAATTTTTAGCAGGTAAAATAGCGCTGTTTTGAATTTGAGTTTCATGGAAAACTAAGATAGAGATGAGTGAGAAATCTTCTGAAGAAGATGTGCTTCTCAAACTGTTATTGTATACCTTGGTGCTTCTGTATTTTTAATTTTTTTCTTGGATAACCAGAAATCCCTCTGTGTGTGTAATTGGTCCAGAAGTTGTGGGATTGTACAACCTTTCGCAGTTCGGAAGGTGTAAAATTTAATGCATATTTGCGTACTGAAAGGCGGGAAAAGTTAAGTTTCTGATTTTTATTGAAAAATTTCCGACTGGAGTTTTCATGCCTGAGGTGTCATCGATTTGATGACCATGTTGAGTGTCAAAGAACACTTAAAAGGAGAGATGGGATTAGCTTTCAGACTGTCACACACTTGATTGACTGTTTAACTACACTTGATGTTCCTAACGAATTTAACTTCTTTGTTGTTTGAATCTTGTATATAGTCTTACACTCTGAGTAACCTTATATTATTTTATTCTTTGATTTGTATATACATATTTAAATATATATAAATATGCATATATACGTTTCCTTTCAATTTCAACACTATCAAACAAATTATGATTTTAAGCCAATATGGAACCAAACAAGGAGGTCATGTATTGTGATTGGATAATAAAGTGAAGCTTGTGAATTGTGCATGCCATAGTGAGATGGATAAGTTATTTTCTGCCATGAGGGTTGGGCTCTCAGAGGGTTTCAAGCTGTGCAAGTGTGGGCGTTAGTGCGTATGAAGGTCAGATTGGGGAGGATTCAGCCATGAGATATAGTATGATTTTTCCATCGTAAGCTTTTATTCATATAAATTTTAGGGGCTTGTGTTGTTTGACAAGGTGGAGCCTCTGGTTATCAGATGAAAGCATTCTTGCTGAGGGACTGTGGATCCTTGTATTTTTGTTGTCATTAAAATGGTATAAGGGGTGGAAGTCATTTTTGTGGAATAATACAATTTTAGAAGTGCTGAGTGTTTGCTACTTCTATTATACGTTATGTTTTTACAGCAGAGATTTTCTTTCTCCTTTCTTCTTATTTATTTTACTTTTCTTTTTCTGTCATGCTGCTTAAATATATGAGTGGGCTGCTATTTTACAGTCGTTTAATGCTTTTTGAATATAAAATTATTGAAATCCAGAGCTTTCTACATATTTGGGTACTATAGTTTGTTTTTGATGAATTTGGTTTTAATTGCTGAATATGTTGACTCTGATATGCAGGATAGTGTTCTTCCCCATTTGGATATTTCATGCAGTTGTTGCTCGAGGAAGATTCTCATTGCCTGCTCCAGCAGTTCCACATAATCGTCATGTGTGTTTAAATGTTTCTCTGCCAAGATGGAGAAAATCTAAAAGACTTGTTATATTTATTTATTTTTAAATAAGATTTTCTTGAAATACAAAAGAAGATTTTTTTTTTCTTTACTTTTGTGGACATTGATCAAATTCATGGTCAAGTTTGAGATGAGATTTCCTTTTCTTGGACAGTGGGCTCCATGCCATGCCATTGTTGCAACACCATTGCTCATTGCATTTGAACTGCTCCTTTGTACATATCTTGAGAGTGTATATGGTATGTATGAAGACCCTGCTGTTGTTTTTGTTTTATTTGAGGGATTGACAATGATTCTTTCTCATCTCCCTTTTCCTTTCTCATTTTTTCACTAATGCATGAGCATTTCTTCAAGATATGATAAGTTAGTGAAACTATTAGCTTTTTTAATACAGCCCATGAAGTTGTTTCTCAAAATATGAATTCATTGCATATAGATGTTCATGTAGAATAGGCATTATTAAGGCTTTAAACATTGTTATTGTTTAAAGTTCTTTTTCCTTTTACAGCTCAAGGTCAGCCGGCTGTCAATTTGAAGATTGTCTTTCTTCCGCTTTTGGCATTTGAAATAGTTATCCTAATAGATAATTTCAGGTATGTTCTTTAGTTGACAATTTCATCTAAATTTTTGTTCTGCCTAGTTTCAAGTACTATTAACTGTTGTTTAGACAAAATATTTTGATTGCTTAGCATGTAGGTCCCAAGATGAAATAAAAATTACCATTGTTGCCACTATTATCATGGTTGACTTCATGTCAGAATCACCACCTCCATCATAGTTATCATCATTGTTACTTTTATTACATAACATCAATACTGTGTAGTGTTGGCTAAATGGAAAACCGTTGCTATATATTTATTGATATTCTGTTTTAATTATTTATTTGGACTTCGGCTCCACTTGCTAGTCAAACTTCTTCTTACAAATTAAATATGAATTTCTGATTTAAAAAAGCAAAAGAAAAACCCGCTACCAACCATCATCACTCTACTATACTAACACCTTCTTCATAATAAAACCAACATAACATCATTATCAGCTTACTGCATGTTGGCAGTACTATTGCTTCCATTATCATTACTAGTACCGTGTGTATTATGACACCCATTTTCAACTCTTCATCACTTCTATTCCCATCATACTTATGGTATCAACCCACAAAAAACTGAAAAAATTGATACTACCAAATATGACAATAGTCTTGGTCTTAATAAATGATAAATCAAACTGATCTGTAGTACCTCAAACTGTTAGAAAATTAGTTGTTGAACATGATGCCGAGGCAGTAGGACTTGTCTTTAAACCCCATTGCCTTGCAATAATATGTCAATGCATCCATGCCTATTGCTCATCCAATAATATTTTGGATAGTTTAGTACCTGTTTTTCATCAACTAAAGCTTTTGCAGTAACGAGGGATTTATGGATCTTTAGGTTTCTTGTTATGTTTCTGAAGTGTGCAGTACCTACATGGTCACCCCCTGGATTTAGTACTTTATGATTGACCATTGTAGATTTTTAGCTACAATAACAACTGCTTGAAAGTTAAATGAGACTTCCTCTATTCTTCCCTTTCTCCATCATTAATATCCAAACCCTATGTTGTTCTCCTTATTGGTGATTCATTATTGTGATTTCATTTTTAATCAACTATTATATGGGCTATGACGAGAAGAGTATTTGTTTTTCAGAATGTGTAGAGCTCTTATGCCAGGAGACGAAGAAAGCATGAATGATGAAGCAATATGGGAGGCATTGCCCGTAAGTTCTCTTGACTTAGTCATATATAACATGGAAGAAGTGTCTCAAATTAGCCCCCTGTTTGTTAGATGTTTTCCATGCCAAACAAAACAATGAATTTCCATGATTACTGGATTTCACTGCAAGAGCAAATTCCTTAACTTTTGTGGACATCTTGTTCACTCTTTTATAATTACTTCAATCAATCAATGATATTTATATGTTTCTTCTCAGAATAAATAAATAAAATAACTCATGGATGCTCATCCACCTTGTGCTTTTTGAATCATTGAAATAGTATAATCCTTGGTTAGCTTGAGTCTGGGAACATTGTGGGAGCCATAGTCCTAGGTGGAAATAATTGAAAGAAAACACTGTCTTTTAGTTTGTCATGGTCTGGATTTTATTGCAATTGCTGTCATGGGGGGTTTATCTTTGCTTAACAAAAAGCAGCGTTAGCTACTATAAGATCTTTTTATTTTGGTAGGATACCATGGTAGCAAGTTTGTGCCTTTCTCAGATTAATTGGTTCTCAGAATGGAATGTTAATTTAATTTTGGATGCAGATATGTCAAGTTTATCTAAAATCTAAAAGTTATTGTTACTGATATTTTTACCTTTTGTTTGTAGCACTTCTGGGTTGCAATTTCTATGGTCTTCTTTTTAGCTGCTACAGTCTTTACCGTCCTTAAGTTATGCGGTAATTTCTTTAACTTCCTTTAGATATGTAGAATTGCAAGTAGTTGTGTGCAAATTCATGGGCATGTTGTTGAAGTTATGGATCTTTCTCTAGGATGATTTGTTTTTAGCGGAATCAGGCTTCTATATGTGTTTTTTTTTTTTCAGAGGGTGATTCATAGATTGTGCCTGTTCTTGTTTCCTTGCATATAATTTACTAGTAAGACATATTTGATTTGGATCATCCAAATACTAACTTAAATTTCCTCAAGACTTACTAAGGTGATTTGTATTGCATTAGATGTTATATTTGATTCTATAGAGGATACCTATATTTTTGCCTTATACTGGTTAATTCAGAAGGATGAATTTTCTGTAGTTAACGAACTATTCTTGTTTGCTTTCCTTTTGGAACCTTTCGGGGTTTCAACCTTTGTTACCCTTTATTTATTAATGATGCTCTACCGAGTACTGACTTCTCAGTCTCAACATCTTCTAATCACAATAAAAGAAATATTTTTCATTGGTCCTTGGGATACATGATACTGACGTATTTTACTTTTACCACTATAATTTAACTGCCAAAACGTCTTTAAATTGTTTAATCCAATGTTTATTAAATTGACACTTGGTAATTGTTTTTTTGTTATAATTTCTTTCATCACAACTGGTTTATGATTTCATGTGTTAACTGTTGCAGGTTATGTAGGTGCTCTTGGCTGGTGGGACCTGTTTATAAATTTTGGGTATGAATTCTCTGCTTCTAATATCGTACAGTTCATTGATTTATAACTTTGTTGGGATGCCTTATATACAGTGACATGATATTTCTATTAAGGTTTTGGATTTTCATATAACTGATGAATGTGAACATGTTGTCCGCAGCATTGCAGAATGCTTCGCTTTTCTTGTTTGTACGAAGTGGTCTAATCCTGTAATTCATCGAAATCCTCGCACAATACAATCTAGCTCATCTTCTATGACTAATAGATACCTTGACTGGAATAGTGGCTTAGTAGTTACTCCAGAGGAAGATCAGAACCAGGATAGACTGTGCGGCCTGTCAGATGTTGGTGGCCACATTATGAAAATTCCAATTATAGGGTTTCAAATCCTCCTTTGCATGCGTTTAGAGGTATATAAACTGTTGTTTTGTGTTCAAGGGCATCAATTGTTATGCCTTATTAACACATCTGTATTTCAGGGTACGCCTGCTGGTGCTAGAGGTATACCACTTCCTGTCCTATTCTCTCCACTTTTCCTGCTGCAAGGCGCTGGTGTCTTATTTGCTACAACTAGATTGGTTGAGAAAATTGTACTTTTATTACGGAGTGGAGCTGGCACAGGAATATATTTTAGATTTTCTGCAAGAGCTCGTGATTGCTTGGGGTTCTTGCACCATGGTTCCAGGTAATGATGTTTTGTTCAGTGGACAAATTGTGCACTTACTCAGTAGTTGGTGATTACAACTGCAGAGTAACATTTTCTTCGTTTGACCATTTAAAAACAGGTTATTGGGTTGGTGGTCAATTGATGAAGGCAGTCGAGAAGAGCAGGCTCAACTTGTCCTTGATAGTGCTTCTGGGTCAGTATATATTTACTTTCATCATGGTTTTGGGAGAGGCACAATTTGGGTGCAAATTTTTTGGGTTTGTGTTCACCTCTGTGAAATATGATTGTTGAACAACATAATTTTGAGAAATGAAGATAGATAAGTTATAACAATTGCAGCAAATTCTTGCCTTTTCAGAATATATTTTCTTAGGAAACTCAGATTATTAGGTTTATAAAGAAATATGAAATATGAAATATATATGTTAAAGTGTTAAAATTGAATTTCTTTTTTAAATAAGGCATGCAATATAATTATTAATTGCGTATACTGCTGTGAGTAATATTTGCTTACATTAGTTTTTGTTTGATATGTAATTGATAAAAGATCCTTGATTTCATGTTATGAATCATTTTTGATGAAGTAGTCTCATGTTCATTTTCTTGCTTTAAGTTTTGTATTTGCTGAATCACATCTTTAGAGTCCCTTAAAAATTCCTAAAAGGGCTGATTTGAAGCACAAAAACAAAAAACAAAAAAGAGAGGCTGATGATTGTGTTTTGGTTTTGCTACCATGCAGGTATAACACTTTTTGTGGTTATCCACCTGAAATGGTGAAGAAAATGCCCAAAAAGGATCTTGCTGAGGAGGTCATTACAAACTTATAGTGTTTCCTTCCACCTTATTTTTACTAGATTACTCTGTTTGTCTATCTTTTTTTCTTTTTTCCTTTTTTGTTTGAAGTGTAAAGAAATTTTACGCTTTATTTTCATCGTCTGAAACATATTGACATCAGTATGATTCTGCTATGGCTTGCATTTATTTCTTATATTTTGACTCTCAATTATCTCAGGTATGGAGACTCCAAGCAGTGCTTGGTGAGCAGACGGAGATCACAAAATATAGCCAGCGGGAGTTTGAAAGACTTCAAAATGTAATTCTCTTAGACTTGAATGAATGTTCACCATAATGTGGATACGTGATGTAAAAGTAGTATCTTAAGAAAGCTCCCCACTTTGGGAATCCTTCTTTGAGTGCAATGTCTGTCATTCTTTATTGTTGAGATGTTGTCATGATCATTATATCTTTAATGTAAAGCTTTTACATGCTGTTTTGTTATTTTAACTAAAAATCGATTCTCTCGACGCTGAGAACTTTGTTTCAATTAAGAAATCAATCCTTTTATTTGCTATTGTTTCTTGATTATGGCCATCTATCTTTTTGTTGTTGATGTTGGTGTTAAAATTTGAATTAATATCATATTGGAATTCGTTTTTGCTCTGTTCTTTCCTGAAGTGTTAGTGCCTAAACTAGTCTTACTATTTTGCAGGAAAAAGTGTTATGTAGAGTTTGCTTCGAGGCAGATATTAGTGTAGTTCTGCTTCCATGTAGGCATCACATCCTTTGCAGGTATGATCATTTACCTCATAGATCTAAAATTTCGACATCTAACTCATCAAATCCCAATCTTATATTTTTTATTTTCTCTCTTCATTTTGGTTGGTTGCAATGCTCATTATTTTCAACTGTGGTGCAGCACCTGCTGTGATAAATGTAAAAAATGCCCGATTTGCCGTGTCACTATTGAGGAGCGGTTACCTGTATATGATGTTTAATCTCTAACTTCAGTCTTTTAAAGAACTGGACAGCAGTAAGGATATCAAATAGCTTAATTAGAAAAAATTGCTTTTACAGTTTTTGCTGAAACTTTTTCACTAGTGAGTATTTGCCTTGTTTGTTTAATTCGACATAAAGCTAACTACAGGAGATATAGAGAATGCAGCCACCATGATTTATACATGGTTAGTTTCTATCTTTTTCTCAGTTTTTTTTTTTTTTTTGAAATTGTAAATATATTTAAATTGAAGATTTAAAGTATTTTCAATTGAGGTTGTAAATTTGTTAGCCTTGAATATTGACTTAGTGATCACTGTATTCATTAGCTTCACTAGGCCATTACAGTTCGTCTTCCTCCTCCTCTCCCTCTTGAATCTAATAATCATTTTTGTTGTGATGGGCATTTTAATTATATTCTTGGAGAGATTTTTATATAGAATTTTTATGAGTAATCGAAAGAACGATCCTGGTAACATGGATCATAAGACTTGTAACTTGATTGGTAACAAATTGAATGATAGAGAGGTAATATGAAAGCTTTATATTGATTATTAGTGAACATCTCTAAAGGTGTCTTTTATTTTAAAGAGCATATTTCATATAAATAAAAAACATCTTCATGAATTTTTAAATATAAAGAACAAAATTTTTATTTAAAGTTAATAGACTTTTTAAATTTAATGAAGATTTATTTATTTATTTTTTTTTTTAGAAAGAGATTTAATAGAAGAAAGAATTAATAAATAAAATGCATAGAAATTTATAGTTTATTAATTAAAATTAAGGTAGATAATAAAATTTGACTCTTTAGATGTGGAGAGTCAAACACACTTTTTAATTTATATTTAAGGGATAAAGAATCTGTTGGACTCTTGTATTTATGTATATTCTTTATAATAAAGATTTTGGGTCATATAAAGAGTCATTTAGAGATGCTCTTATTATTATATTTTTTATGTTATCGTTCTAAAAATCATTGTTTAATCAATTATTTTAGAGTTAATGACTTTTTTGCACCCAAATAATGGCTTAATGACATTTTTCACCCACAGACTTTTAAAATGTTATTTTATTGTCTAAGTTTGTATCTCGATGGCGAATAGAGAACAAATTTAGTTCAGACTGTTAGGGTTTTTGAAGAGGGGAGACCGATGAGTCTTTTGGTAGTATAAGGATGGATTTTGGTGGTTGGGATTGCTTAGAATTTGATTTGATAGGAATGGTTGCACAAATCTTAATTGATCGATTATCGGTGATTGACGGGATCAACGAGAGTAGGGTTTGAGGGGTTTTATTGAGTGATGATTGAGGAAGAAAATGGCGGTGATGAGTGGTGATGTCAGAATCGAAAACGAAATATAAATTTGAGTAGTGAAATGATATTTTTAAAATTTGTAGGTGGAAAAAATGTCCTTAAGCCATTATTTAGGTGGGAAAAAGTCTTTTTACTCATTATTTTGTGTCCATTGTGATTTGTTGTTCAACGCTGTGTTTATTCTAAAGGCTGATTTATTTCTTCTAGTATTAGAAAAGAAATTGCGACAACCAATCTTATGAGATTTATTCATTTGATCTTAAAATCTCATATTTTAGTAATATAACTACCAACAAATATAATAATATTCAAACCAAATCCCCGAAATGAATATCTTTGCTAGCTCAATCAATTCAAATTACAGTTTTCCAACAGTTGTCACACATCAATAAAATAAAATCACAAGAAGCTTTTGGATTTCGTTACCATATATGGAGAAATACAAAAATAGAAATATAGAATGCTTTCACTATCTATCTCTTTCTTATTTAATAATTAACATAAGTTTATAATGATTTGGAATATAATAATGACCTCTGTAAGGCTTTAATAAAATTAAATTAGGTTAATCATTTTAAAGATCATTCTTAGAGTTATTAAAATTCATCAACAATCTCATCTCCAAAATTTAATCAAATTTATTTCAAACGAGATTTTCTTCTATTTAAATTGAATAAATGGCCATATAATTTATTAAATCACAGACGTGGCAAGATCATAAGGGCTACGAGTATCATCTGCAGCCAACCTAACCGGAGAGAACAAAATAATTTTATAATTTCCAGATATAGTTACCAGCCTCGTTTGTCGTTTCCCATTATAGAAGAATAAGCAAAGAACATCGATTCGAAAGCAACAACATTTGACACATTTTTCACAGTGAAATCTTTGTAATTACATCACCATTTGGATACTCCTCAAGTTAAGTTTCATCCAATTCGTATAATTACATCCAACCCAACTACTTCTTCTTGCTTCTTGGCCGCCAATTGGGTGCTCATTTCTCGGTGATCCAGATTGGTTTCTGCAACAATTGCTTCGTGGGTTCTTTGTTTGAGGCAAGTTTTTATATACCCATTTGTAGATCTTATTGAATTTTGTGATTTTGTTTTTTGTTTTCAGCTTGTTCGGTTGCTGGGAAAATGAGGGAAAAGAAAAGAAAAGGAAAGAAAATATATGGTGTTGAATCAGTTTTAGTGGTTTCGAATGCAATAACTTTTAAAGAAAAGTAATTTTGAACTAAAAGTTAGATAGTTGCATAAAGCTTAGCTGAGTTAAAAGGTGAATCTTTAAGATTTGAAATTTAGTGTTTCAGCTTTTTTCCTACATTTTCTTAGCAACCAAACTGAGCGTTGCTGTAGTTTTATAACTTGATAGCCTTGGTGCTTGCTCTTTTTATCTTGACATGAATATATTTTTCTGGGTTTTGTTTGTTAGGCTTTGATTATTTCACTTCAAGTTTTGAAGAGAATAGCGGAGTTGAGTTTTAGTGGAAAATCAGCTTAGTGTGCTTAGNATATTGACTTAGTGATCACTGTATTCATTAGCTTCACTAGGCCATTACAGTTCGTCTTCCTCCTCCTCTCCCTCTTGAATCTAATAATCATTTCAGTTGTGATGGGCATTTTAATTATATTCTTGGAGAGTTTTTTATATAGAATTTTTGTGAGTAATTGAAAGAACGATCCTGGTAACATCGATCATAAGACTTGTAACTTGATTGGTAACAAATTGAATGATAGAGAGGTAATATGAAAGCTTTATATTGATTATTGACTGTTAGAGTATCTCTAACGATGTTTTTTATTTTAAAGAGCATATTTCATATAAGTAAAGAGCATTTTTATTAATTTTTAAATATAAAGAACAAAAACTCTTTAAATTTAATGAGGATTTTTTTTTTTTTTTTTCAAGAAAAATACTTAATGGGTGAGAAAATTAATAAATAAAATGCATAAAAACTTGTAGTTTATTAATTAAAATTAATATAGAGAATGAAATTTGACTCTTTAAAGGGTAAAGAGTCTGTTGAACTTTTGTTTTTATGGATACTCTTTATAATAAAGATTTTGGGTCATATAAAGAGTCATTTGAAGATGCTTTTATTAGTATATTTTTTATGTTATTGTTCTACCAATCATTGTTTAATCAATTATTTTAGAGTTAAAGACTTTTTTCCACCCAAATAATGGCTTAATGACATTTTTCACTCATAGATTTTTAAAATGCTATTTTACTGTCTAAGTTTATATTTTGACGGCGAACAAAAAATAAACTTAGTTCAGATTGTTAAAGCTTTTGAAGAGGGAAAACTGATGAGTCTTTTGGTAGTATAAAGATGGATTTTGGTGGTTGGACTTGCTCAGAATTTGACTGGTAGGAGTGGTTGCATAAATCTTAATCGATCGATTACCGTCAATTGATGGGATCAACGAGAGTAGGGTTTGAAGGGTTTTAGTGAGTGATGATCGAGAAAGAAAATGACGGTGGTATGTGGTGATGTCAAAATCAGAAACGAAATATAAATTTAGATAATGAAATGATATTTTTGAAATCTGTAGATGGAAAAAATGTCACATTAAGTTAGGTGGAAAAAAGTCTTTTTACTCATTCTTTTGTGTCCATTTTTGTTCAAGGCTGTGTTTATTCTAAAGGCTGATTTATTTCTTCCAGTATTAGAAAAGAAATTGCGACAACCAATCTTATGAGATTTATTCATTTGATCTTAAAATCTCATATTTTAGTAATATAACTAACAACAAATATAATAATATTCAAACCAAATCCCCGAAATGGATCTCTTTGCTAGCTCAATCAATTCAAATTACAGTTGTCACACATCAATAAAATAAAATCACAAGAAGCTTTTGGATTTTGTTACCATGTATGGAGAAATACAAATATAGAAATATAGAATGCTTTCACTATCTATCTCTTTCTTATTTAATAATTAACATAAGTTTATAATGATTTGGAATATAATAATGACCTCTGTAAGGCTTTAATAAAATTAAATTAGGTTAATCATTTTAAAGATCATTCTTAGAGTTATTAAAATTCATCAACAATCTCATCTCCAAAATTTAATCAAATTTATTTCAAACGAGATTTTCTTCTATTTAAATTGAATAAATGGCCATATAATTTATTAAATCACAGACGTGGCAAGATCATAAGGGCTACGAGTATCATCTGCAGCCAACCTAACCGGAGAGAACAAAATAATTTTATAATTTCCAGATATAGTTACCAGCCTCGTTTGTCGTTTCCCATTATAGAAGAATAAGCAAAGAACATCGATTCGAAAGCAACAACATTTGACACATTTTTCACAGTGAAATCTTTGTAATTACATCACCATTTGGATACTCCTCAAGTTAAGTTTCATCCAATTCGTATAATTACATCCAACCCAACTACTTCTTCTTGCTTCTTGGCCGCCAATTGGGTGCTCATTTCTCGGTGATCCAGATTGGTTTCTGCAACAATTGCTTCGTGGGTTCTTTGTTTGAGGCAAGTTTTTATATACCCATTTGTAGATCTTATTGAATTTTGTGATTTTGTTTTTTGTTTTCAGCTTGTTCGGTTGCTGGGAAAATGAGGGAAAAGAAAAGAAAAGGAAAGAAAATATATGGTGTTGAATCAGTTTTAGTGGTTTCGAATGCAATAACTTTTAAAGAAAAGTAATTTTGAACTAAAAGTTAGATAGTTGCATAAAGCTTAGCTGAGTTAAAAGGTGAATCTTTAAGATTTGAAATTTAGTGTTTCAGCTTTTTTCCTACATTTTCTTAGCAACCAAACTGAGCGTTGCTGTAGTTTTATAACTTGATAGCCTTGGTGCTTGCTCTTTTTATCTTGACATGAATATATTTTTCTGGGTTTTGTTTGTTAGGCTTTGATTATTTCACTTCAAGTTTTGAAGAGAATAGCGGAGTTGAGTTTTAGTGGAAAATCAGCTTAGTGTGCTTAGATTTGGTGTACTTTGATAAGTGAAAACTCATGGAGGTTTTGATTATTTCACTTCAAGTTTTGAAGAGAATAGCGGAGTTGAGTTTTAGTGGAAAATCAGCTTAGTGTGCTTAGATTTGGTGTACTTTGATAAGTGAAAACTCATGGAGGTTTTATTGGAAATGGTCGGTGAAGATGATGAGGGTTGGAATTTTTGATTGATGAAAGATCCGTGGATATGAGTCGGTCACCGTCGTTTTCTGTGAAGCCAGAGCTTGGTTTAAAGCCTGACCCGGAAGCTTTGCAAAGATGGATTGTTGCCTTTTGCATTATTCGGTTTGATCTCGAACAAGGCCAGCTCATTGAAGAGTGTTACCCACCTGGTTGTCTTACGCAAGATGAGGAGCTTGAGGTTGCTTTTAGTTCATTTCCGGATTCCATTTCCCAGAACCAAAACCGCTCAAGTATACACGATTGCATATTCTTTTTCCGGTTCCAAAGGCAGAAAAATCGTCCTCAGGGAAATGTGACTTCATCTGAGATAACCAGAGTTGATGACAATATGTTGCCAACGATCCCAAAGGAGAAAGTACCTAAAAATTCAAAAAGTAGAAACAATAGAGAAGATACCAAATATTTGTATGGTTATGTGTTTAATAGGCAAAGGCATGACGAGAGGCTAAAACGAGGTGGGGAACAAAAATCTGTGGTGATATTATCTCGCAGGCCTTTTTCTGGTGTGTTTAGACCACTGTTACAAATCATGGGGCCCTTGTATTTTGACATCGGAAAGAAAGCTGTTGAACATATTGCTGCTTATGTTTCAATGTGGCCTTCACCTGTACCTGGTAAGTTAATGGAGCTTCCTATTGGGAATGCCATGCTTAAGGTGAACTTGCCACCTTCGCATAGCTTGCCGTTGGAAGGTGGAATATTGTTTGAAGAGTCAGTTTCCCCAATGGCACCTTTTCTTCCTAACAATCAGTCAGTTCCACAAGGTCTTTTTCATGATTCAGATCTATTTGGGACATTTCGGGGCCTTCTATTGCAGCTTTGGGTGTTATGGGAGTTGTTACTTATTGGTGAACCCATTCTTATCATAGCTCCAACTCCTCCCCAATGTTGTGAGGCTGTTGCTAGTCTTGTAAGTCTAATAGCCCCATTGCTTTGTAGTATTGATTTTAGGCCTTATTTTACTATCCATGATCCAGAATTTGCTCATTTGAATTCACTTCAAGAGGGGGACACTTTCCCTCCTATGGTTTTGGGTGTGACAAATCTTTTTTTCCTTAAAGCTCTTCGTAATATTCCCCACATTGTATCGGTTGGAAGCCCTACTCCTAATTCAAACCGGGGTGCACTTGCCAGCAGGACGTCTACTGGCAAATTTTCTGGTAGACCTGAAGGGTTTGGTCTTCAACAGCTCTCCCTAAAGAAGTTTTCTCCTTCAAATTTGTTGAATGCTGTGAAGTTGAGGAGAGATGGTCCTCTTTGTCTCATGACAGAACATAAGGAAGCCATTTGGAGCAGTTATGCAGCAACAACTAAGCCTGATACTTCTATCTTGAATAGGCTTATTGATGCTGGGCTGTCACCAAGGGTTGAGGAGTCGATGTCAGTCGTGAACAATGAGATATTGCGTCGGCATTTCTTGGAGCTCACTACCAACTTTTTGGCTCCTTTTGGTCCATTTTTTCGGACTACCGCACCTTCTGAAGGATCTTGTCCATATGCTGATCCTCCCCCTCTCCCTTTATTTATTGCTGATGAATTTCTTTCAAGCTTATCAGCTAGAGGTGTTGGAAAGTTTCTGTCAAAGCGAATGAGATCCAATTGGCTGGACTTATACAGGTAGTTAGCCTTCTTGTCATTTGGATAATTTACTATCTGTTTATTTTCTCACGTATAGTGCTCTTCACTTCAATTTTGTCTTCCTTCTATATACATCGGTGAATTTGTCTTTTTATTTTTTGCTTTTGAGATGCTTTATGTTTCTTCTCAGGAAGTTTCTGGAAGGACCAAACTTTATGCCATGGTTTCAAAGAAGACGTGCTGCTGCAGAACAAGAACAGAATAGACTGTGGAGGCTGGCAAGAATGAGGACAGACATACAGCAGCTAATTTCTAAAATGTCTGAGTTGGAAATTGTTGATTCATTCAATGCTATTGAGAGGCATCTTACTGAAGAAATGCAGGTAAATTTCTCTTTCTTCAGAATAAAATGCCGATTTCTGTTTGGTTGAACCTTTTTTTTAGAAGCTGTTGCTCTATCTATGAATATTTACCTGAAAGAATTTTCCATTTTTCAAGAGAGAACCTATATTTTTAAAAAATCTGTAAACAATACTGCCTAAAACTGATTTTGTTACACCAGAACTCATATGGTCTGGGGAGGAACAGGTCAAGTTTCAACTGTTATTGCATTAAAGATAGTGTACAAAGGAAAAGGTGATTGAGTAAAGATTGTTGTAGCATTTATAGGGTTATAAAGGGCTCTTTCCTCTAATAATGTGCCTCAACAGGGATTAGAGAATTATGGCTGAGTTCAAGAAGGATTAATATATTTGTACTGAATTTCATCTAAATTATAAATGTTAGGCTGACTCATTGATACATTGTTTGTTGAACACTCTCCTCTAATTATCTTCCTTGTGCTTACATGACAATCAGGTTTCTGCAAATTTCTTTTTGGAGATGTTGTTTCTTTTGATTAGGGTTGGAAAGGAATGATAAAGATAAATGAAAACTGAATGTTTTTTTGAAGCTGGAAAAGTCGGAAAGCAAAAAGTCCGTAACTGAAAGAGTTTTAGTATAGTATTACCACTTTTTACTCTTATCAAAAACCCTCAAAAGTGTTCCAAATGAGGGCTTATCAAAAGCAGAGATTTCTAACGAATGTGAGATGGGCAACAGGCTGTTGCAGTAGTAGTTTTCTTAGATTTATCTGACTTGCAATGACGCATTTCAGATAAAGGTTCATTTCCAAAACCTTTGTTGCTGTTTACACTGTTTTGTGGTTGTGTTTTTCATATTTGTAATCCAAAAAAAAGTTTGGTAATAAGATTTGGAAAACATTTTTGTGAAACATTGTCTTTCAAGTATGAAAAAAAATTCAAAAATGCCAAAAGGAAGTTATTATTTTTGAAAAATGAACTCTGAAGTTGCTGAAAACGTTTTCTTCTCTCTGTCTTGATACTAAAACTCTGTATCATCTCAAGTATTTGATGAATGGGAAACCTGATTGAAAACAATGCTCTGACTGGATACTGAAATTTGTGTACTTATGATATTTTTTATGCTTTATGATTCATGCCTGAACACATATGTACATGTCATGAAATGGGTAACGTTATTCAATAGCAGTATTTTTACTTGTTAAATGTAATTTTCAGTTGCAGAAATCTGGATGGGCTGCTGATGATTCTGCAACGATTTGTCAGAAGCTGACGGGAGATTTACAGGCAGTGTTCAATGTTCTTCCTAAGGATGTGCAGCAGCTTCTGCTTATGAACCCACAGAGGGCAGCCTTTTTACAAGTCCAGAGCTGATAAAACTTCCTGCCTGCCCCACTTTCAAGTCAAGGTAGCACCATCTGCTTCATTAATGTATTATGTGAGGAACCGCTACAATTGAGGTGGCTTCAGGTATAGAGTGTTGTCTCATACTTCCAAAGGATTGGACCATCTGTAGTTATATTGTAGCATCCTTAATTACCAGGCATGGGAGTATTTCTCCAATTTTAGGCACAATTTTTCATCTAGGTGAGACTATTATCCTCTCACAATGATTATACTTTTTCCTCACCTTAACGACAAGCAATTTAATAGAATTCGCTTGATCCTGTGTCATTTTCCAGATATGTGAGAATCACTATCTGTATCTTGAATCACACTCCTCCTGCGCACTTCTGAGTCTGAGATAACATTGTAAAACTACAAGTTGATTAGATTACTCCTCATGGTGCATTGGCATTTTTCCATTTTATGAAAAGTTGAAGATTCATGTTGTTTCAACCTCAGGGAACTGTCTGCAAAGCTACAACTGTTGTATGATCATGCCAGGCAGAACTCCCGGTTTTGGTTTTTGTCATGTAAAATTGTTTTCAATATTTGCAGTTGGGTTTTGATTTGTTTTTCCAGATTTTGTCAGAAAGGAATAGGGGAAGGAAACTTTGGTCTATTCATTGAATTTTTTTCATTAATCCAGCAAGCGATGAGCAAGATTCATGGAAGAATTACTTTCTAACAACCTCTAAAATTTTACCATTCATACTTATTTTCTTACTGATACTATCGGTCGTAAATACAAGTATTGTAAGAAAGACTTTTTCATGTTAATGATAGGTGAAATTTTCCTCTTACTAAAATCTGCAAAAGCAAATTGCAATAGATTCTGAAATTTACTTTTTCACATATAGGGTTTTCATTAGATTCCATCCTTGATTGACAAGGTGTAGATGGACCACAATGAGATGAAGTCTTATATCTAGTATGATAGATTTATTTTTTGAAGGTGACATTCTTGAAAATGTTCCTGTTTTCAATCATATTTATATCTTTGATTTCCATTCACTGTAAATTCTGGTGGGTCCTTTTCTTCCTCGCCTTTCTATGATTGGTCACTTAAACCGAAAACAAGTTTATGCTTTCTTTTTAATATATTAAAACTTATAATATTATTAGGTATTAATTTTTTTTTTTTTTAATATATTAATACTAGTAAATGACCTTTTCCCATCCAAATAATGGTTTAATTACTTTTTTTCACCTACGTACTTTTAAAATATCACTTTTCCATCTTTTAATGACACTTTTTCACCTATTCTGTTAAGAATAATGTTATATTTATAACTTAGATATACAATCAACATACAAATAGATAAAATTTTTACAAAAGAGTAATATTACACATACATCATTTTCATACAATATTTTTTATACAATATTACGTGGCAAGATATGATTGGCTAATTTAAAGTTAAAATTAAACTTTCACTCAATCATATCTTGTCACATAATGTTGTATGAGAGTAATATTATTCTTTACAAAGAGTAAAATTTAAGTAAAATGACTACTTTGTCCTATGTTTTTTGTCTATTTGTATGCATAGTTGTATGACTCAGTTGTAAGTATAACATTACTTATCCAGCTAATAGCCAACCAATTCCGGCATCATTGCTACTCCACACTACCATCATTCTATTTCCTAATTATCACTAACCCAAACCTCTCAAACCTTATTTCCATCGATCTTGCCAATCGTTGGCAACCGAGCGATTAGGGTTTTCGCATTTGCCCCTCCAAAGTCAAATTTCGACCAATCACGACCACCAAAATTTAACTTTTTACAACCAAAAGATTTATCGGCCTCCCATTTTTAAAAGCTCTAACATCATGGAACGAGTTGCTTTCCGTTCGTAGCCGAATCGGAAAGTGTATTTTTTGGGGTGAAAAAGTGGTATTTTAAAAGTCTGTAGGTGGGAAAGTGTTATTAAACCATTATTTGGGTGAGAAAAAGTAGTTAACTCATATTAGTATTTATAATATTTGATAACAATACTAATATAATGGTGTGAAGTGTGAGTCAATTTCCAGGCGTGATCAATCAATTTGCAACTGGATATGAAAGTTGTTTTATTAATCATGATAATAGTATACATAGGATTCTTTAATTAACATAAACTCTTTATGTAGTTATATAATTCTCACAATGTGTATTTTTTTCATAGGTTTATGTAAAATAAATAATTTATGATATAGATGTGAGTGGCGGAATTCAATTGGTAAGGAAAAGTGTAGAAAATGTGATTGTGAAAATAGGTAATCATTGTATTTCATCTCTTTATTTTGAATTAATACATTTCTGTCATTTCTATTTTTTTTTTTAATTTTTGAAACTCATTAAAGATTTAAATATGTTCACCTATCACCCTCATGTATACTAATAATAATAATAATAATAATAATATTACCTCTTTGGTGGGTCACTGGGTCATAATCATTTGATTAGAATGCAGACAAATTTATTCCATCAAAGTTTTAAGTTGACCAATAAAAGCAAGTTTAAAGACTTGGAATGGCTTGCATTAAATAAATAAATAATTTTTTTTTTATTTAATTAAAACTAAGATATCCGAATTAACTTATATGTATTTTGATTAATTTTTGAAAGAGATTAACATAGTAACATACTGTTATAACTTTTTATTTAAATTATAATATTTAGAACAAAAATTAAATATGAGACCATGCATCTATCCATATTATCTTAAGTTGGTCATAATCTTGTAACTAAATGCTAAATATGTTTTTTTTAAATGATGTTATAATTATAAACACTCGTTAACAGAACTTTGTATCAAGTTTTGAGCCGAAATTTGAATAGTTAATATTATTTTATTCTTCATATAATTAAACATTACTTTACTAATTTTTTTGAAAGAGGAAATAAGGCCAAATCGTAGAGGAATTATAAGTGGCGCAATTTTACCCAAAACTAGAAATGGAGAATTGGCCACGTAGATGAGACAAGACAAGACATTTCAATCAAAATTACAAAGTCGGCTCCTCCACTTTCTTCTTAAGCGCGTGCTTTCCACTCGCATAGGATTGGTTGATGATAACCTTTTCTAAACTATATATGAATATAATTTTTAATTGTGAGTTTCTTTGAAACAAATTATTGACCATTGATAATAGTATCGAAGATGGAAGGAAATTTTATTGATTTTCTAGGTTTAATCCTAAGTTTTATAGTGTTTGAAAGCTTAAAAAGTTCATAAAAGTGTGAGAGAGTGATAGAAAATAAAAAAAAGGGTGTTTGTGTTATAATCAAAGTTTTAATAATCAATTCGAGGTGAAACTCGGTAAAGTTGTTAGGTCCCGGGTTAACCAGTTTGACCAGCCGATCAAACTGGATGTCAAAAAGTTTAAAATTTAACAAATATGCCCCTAAAAGTAGTTAAGCCCTTACAAGTTTGCAATTTAGCAAACACACCCCAAATACAAATCAGCGGTCGACACACCAAATACAATTTCAATCATCCGTTGAGCCCATTCCTTAGAAAATCTATGAAAGATCTGACCGAAATTAACCAATTTTGGCAAGATCTCACCGACACCGACGTCGACAACCCAAGCCAGATCTCACCATCGCTAGCGTCGACAACTCTCCCCATTACTACGAAAATACTCCCTTCAGTCTCTTGACCAAAACCCATCTCATCTCACCCCTCATTCGCCTTGCCAATTGTTGACAAAAGCCGACTGTTGCCCCCGCTGATTTTTTTCGATTTTCGACTGATTCACTCAACGAAAATCACCTCCATCGTCATCATGGCATTCACCGACCCTTCATCTTCAAAAATCTCAACATCTCAGTCTTCAATTGTTTGTCAATTATCATCCTAATTTATAAGGTTTTGAGTGAATAGGAAAATTGATAACCTAGTTCGGTGAAAGCCTTGGGTCTTGATTCAACTCGTTCAATCGACCGAGCCGGATCGGGTTTTAAAACAATGGTTGTAATGAAGAAAAAGAGAAGCAAGTGAAAAGAATGCGCGTATGGAAAAAGAAAGGACCAATACAAGATTGCATGTGAATGTGATAAAGGTTGTTGTCATTGCCAAGATTCTCTTTTCCCATCCACCATCATTCCCCACTTTGTAAATTCAACACAAATAATAAATATATATAACCCAAATTCAAACTATACTATTTACAATAAATGTATAATAAGTGTACATATTGTACTTTTTAATTATGAAAAGAGAAAAAAGGGTGGTGTATTTATTAATTATTAATATGATTTTTGAGATGAGCATGACGGATTACCATAACCATACATAGTATAGTGGTCCTCATCAATCAATTCTTCACACACACCCGTCTTTATCCTGCGCACCCCTTCTCTTTCTTTTCCCAATAAAACAAAGCCACCAAAGCCCCACACATTAACACAAAACAATTGACATTAAATTGAAACCCATTTCACATTTTCACCACCATAACTTAACAAAACACAACTATAACTTTAAAAACATTTTTGCAAAACACAAACACAAAAACAAAAGACAAAAGCACCATGTCCAATAATTCAGTTTCTTCTTGGAGTAGAGAGGAAGAAAAAGCTTTTGAAAACGCCATAGCAATGCATTGGAATACTAGTACTAGTAGCACCACAAGTGAAGAAGACTCCTCCTCACCATCATCATCAGAAGAGCAATGGCAAAAGATTGCTTCAATGCTTCCTACTAAAACTATTGAAGAATTAAAGCAACATTACCAGTTGTTAATGGAGGATGTGCAGGCAATAGAGGCCGGACACGTGCCTCTACCAAATTATATAGGAGAATTAGACGGTGCAACGTTGGCAACATCTTCATCAAGTAAGGATTTTCATGGCTTTTCAGGCTCAGTGAATGGAGATAAGAGATCAAATTGTGGTTATGGAAGTGGGTTCAAAGGCCTAAGCCATGAGTCAAGTGGGCATGGAGGCAAAGGAGGCTCGAGGTCTGACCAAGAAAGGAGGAAAGGAATTCCATGGACAGAAGAAGAACATAGGTATCTTTTGTTTAGTTATTGTTCATTAAAGTTTCCATTTTTGGTCAATTTTTTTTTAACTGTCTTTAACTGTCACTGACTTTTATGGGGCTTTTTTTTTTTCTTTTCGACAATTAAGATTCATGGTTCTCTGAAAACTGTTTTGTTTCTGGGTCAGATTTTTTTGCAGAAATTGGAGAGCTTACTCTTTTATCCTTTATCTGTTTGACAGGTTATTTCTACTTGGTTTGGACAAATTTGGGAAAGGGGATTGGAGAAGCATTTCAAGAAACTTTGTGATATCAAGAACTCCAACACAGGTGGCTAGCCATGCACAAAAGTATTTCATACGGTTGAACTCGATGAACAGAGACAGGAGGAGGTCGAGCATTCATGATATAACAAGTGTGAACAATGGGGAGGTGTCGTCTCATCATCATCATCATCAAGCTCCTATAACAGGTCAACAGGGAAACACAAACCCAGGAGGGGGTCCGGCAATGGGGGCATCGGTGAAGCACAGGGGGGGTCAGCCGCATATGCCTGGTTTGGGAATGTATGGAGCTCCTGTTGGCCACCCAATTCCAACTCCTGGGCATATGGCTTCTGCTGTTGGGACTCCAGTTATGCTTCCTCCTCCAGGCCATCATCCTCACCCTCATCCTCATCCTCCTTATGTTGTTCCGTTGGCTTATCCAATGGCACCACCACCGGCAATGCACCAATAACAGTACCGTTTCTCTCATGTAAATCAGTTTGCAGTTTTAGTTTTGGAGGAGGTTGGTGAAAGTGAAACTAAGAGAAAAGTATTGAAAATTCGTGGGAGCTTGAAATTCGTTCATAATTAGAAGCTATAGATTTTTTTTTTTTTTTCTTTTTTTTAAGTTTCAAATAATCTTTAATAAAACAGTCTATCTAATTAAAGTTTGTTCATAATGTACTCAAGCCAAGGCAGTCTCTTAGAGTTTGTAAATTTATTGCATGCTCCTTTTTCAAAATTCAGAATCGAAGGAACACATTAATGAAAAATCTAATGCGGATGGACATCAAAATCTAATCAAATGAGTTACCGAAATTCCAGCTGACATCAACATTACGGGAATTGAGAATCATGAGATGCAGGTCGTTGAGAAAAATTTTACACAACTAGGGACTTACAGACATCAATAAGTAATGATATGAAACCTTCAACCAGTGAGCAGAAAAGAGTAAAGGCCAAGGGATTTCCTCAACTTCTCGTCCAAGTCACAATAGGATTTAATAAAAGATCAAAACAACGGTTGTTCTCAAACTGATGCATGAAGAAATCCTATGCCACTAAAACATCATGGCGAACCTAACTGGTATACAAAATGCACAAAATTACAGGATAAAAGGGATACATGAAGATGACAACCTCAAGTCAGTTAATATCCCTTGGATTTTACACGAAGATGCCCTTTAAGAATATTGTACAATAACCTTTTTCTACCCCATTTCCACCATATTGGTGCTTCAGCCCGCCGTACCTTTTTAATTTGTTTTTCTGCAAGCCAAGGAATCATATGTAAGGGATCCAACAAAATGAAAGGTATAAAACAAGAATACAAACTAAACTTGGACTGTAAACACATAAATGACGAGAGAAGCTTGAAAACAAATTCCTTACTTTTGCTTTTAGAAGCATATATTTCCCATTGTGACTGCAATTTTGTAAAGTGTGGTGCCAGAGTAGGCCAGAAGTTCATCTGAATCTTCAGAACTTCCAGAACCGTTTGTAGGCCAGCTTTAGAAGGAGCACAGTGGTGCAATTCGCATCCAGGATTTTCACCCAGCAGTACCTTTATTACCAAGTCATCATGTCAAAAAAAAATATATATAGCATTATGAAAGAAATCACGAACTAGAGACACTCGCATCAGTGAACAGAAAGTATGACAAAACTCGTGTATTCCCAAGACAGGAAAAACACTATTGCTTTGGAATAGCGGAACAAGTTATCTGCATAGCACATGTTATTTCAAATACACTAACTTCTCATATAGTCCCCAACCTATTAAGTGACATTCGCTTAAAAAGGAATACAAAAAAAAAAGAAAAAAAAAAAATCTGGTGAAGTGAAAGATTTTGAGTTGGCAATAGAAGGTTGCAAGATATCCAAGTGAAAATCTATCTACTTCAAACTATGTTTATTTTCAGGTATTGGGAAAAACATTGACCTTAATCACTGAAGTAGCAGAAGATGATATTGACCGGAGATTGTAGCTGCCAATAAACATTGTTATTAGTAAATCCACAAATCAAAGGTACATATATTTATGTTAACTCCACTTAAGTTAATGATAAAGAGGTAGAACCAAAGATGGAGAAAACTACAAACCCGCCCTCTAGAATAACAAGCAACTTGCCACCAGAGAGAACGTTCAACATATGTGTCATCTGGGCATAGCCAGCAGGAGTGACCTACAACACAATTATGTAAAATACAAAATCAAAAATTTTAAATGGAGGTAATTTGGAAACTATAGATGCAGACATCCAAAAAAACAACAGACTCACACAAACCAATTACTTTTTCAAGTTCTGTGTGCTAGTGAATTTTTAAGGCATTGAATTCAAAGTTTTCTTCAATTACGGGCATTCTAAACAGCGAAAGACAATTAAAAGGGAAATACAATAGGAGCTGCCTAATCTTTCTAGACCTTTTAGAAAGTTTAATGAACAGTTTCACAAAAAGCACAGCAGAAACAACAGCATAGCTAGTAGTGATACATAACTGAATGGTCTAAAATGGAATGATAAGGACAGAGTTAGACAGATAAATCCTTACATCACAGCAACCCAGTGGATCACCCCTGGCAGCATCAAATCCAGCTGATATGATTGTGAAATCAGGAGCAAACTCAGAAGCTGCAATTAAATGTGGTTGGAGAATCATTAAATTTGATTTGAAGTAAATAAAGTGCAGAGAACTGCACCTGCAACATATTTCAAATATCTAACACCACAAGGTCAGAATCTGCCTTTCGCTTTACAAGTATACAACAAGCTAAGCCAATGATCACCAGTAATATACATACAGATTAGTGTAAACATTATGCACAGCCACCAACACTCTTCCATTCAAACTGCTTTCTCCTAAACCAGCAGCAGTTATAAGTTGAAACCTATATTTAGAATCTCACACATAAGTCAATACATGGGCATCACAAGATTAGATTCAGATGTATGAAGAAGGTAAAAACCAAACTCTCTCCCACAAAAAACTGATGTTTTCCACTCCCTTAGCTTCAAAAAACCTACTGTTTCTCACATTCCAAATCAAACAAAAGATCCCAGTAAAGCTCTATATCCAAGACTTCTGCTTTCTTGCCTCTAACAAAAGTGTTCATGAACTCAAGGGAAAAGCAACAGAAAAGCACTTTTCAGTCCTGACTAACAGATTTTTACTCGACAACAATGATATCAAACAATATTCCTTCATACTTTTTCCTTAAGGCCATTAATTGACCATTGGTGAGCCATGATAATAAGCAGTTGGCCAATATTGGCACTGCTGAAACACAAATTTCTTCAATACCATACACTAAGATAATCAGATGACATGCAAATACCACTTTAATAATGGTTCCTTAAGAGTGGAGAAACCACAGTACAGATACTAATTTGAACATCTCTTCTTTAATTGACCAAAAAAAAAAAAAATATATAAAATACAGATAGTAACCTATGGGAAGAACAACATTCTGAAATGCAAAAACATAATCATTATCTCCAACTCCACCCCGACTCCACGGAATGTTCACACAGTATCCTTCAGCACCCTGAATACCAACCTTCAGAAATAACATCATCAAATAAAAATGTAGTTCAAATAACAACAAATAAAAATGTGCATTTTATCTGATTTTTCATTTTAATTTTGCCTAAAAAAAATTGTGTAAGCAACCAAGTACCTCATCAGCAGCTCCAGTACCAGGATAAAACTTTCCTCCCTCATGTCTGTGTAAAGATATATACAAAACCTATAAATGGGTCCAAGGATTAGCAGTGAAAATTTGAACCAAAACAACAATAGCTGGAATCATTCCATTGCAAAGGTTAAAAAGGAAGGAGAGGATAAGTCCAGTACAACACTCAAAGGCTTACAGTACACTAATTTTTTTCATATTATTCCTTACCAGAATTTGAGGAAAAAGAAAAGTATTTATGAACCTCAACAATGTATATAGAAATTACATGTTGGTTTCAGTAGCCCAATGTTAAAAAAAATTCTACAAGCTAGAGAGTACAGTATTAAAATTAATTCTTCATTATCCCAACCACAAAATTGGCACAGCCAAAACCACTCCACATTTACCAACTAAAACATTCAATGGAAAAGGGTAGTACACTTAAAAAAACAATCCATTCTGATATTAGTATTTCATTATCATGGAACATACCGATTTATTCTGCTCAAATATTTCTTGAGTACCATTTCCATGATGAACGTCCTGCAGTAATCAGGAAAACAAAATTATTTGAAAGTCCCAAAGCACCTAGCATATCTTTGTACTTTCTTATGGTTTTCTCTCTTATTCTCATGCCTCTTGGAACAAGTTACTACAACCTGAGCCATTGCCATCAACAGAAAAGACTAGCACATTAGGTGATATTAAACATTTACCCTATTAAGCCCAAAATCTAACACATTTCTACCTAATATGAGATAAACATTCTACCACCCAATCATGTAACGTACTCTTCATGTCTCACCCCATCCTACCCACCTGAAAACCTTTCAAGCCCTTGGCATTTAAATGAGAAGACCAAAAAGCAGATAACACTCTGGACTCACTCTCATACTGCTGTATTATAAGCTAGACACTAGCCCAAAAGACTAGTCTAGGTGATGATGCACACATAGCTCTATAAACCTCCAACATATTTCAATGGATAAGAGATTGCAACATTATGCTCCTTGAGACATGTAAAGTGTTGTCAAATTAAACAATATTGTTAAACACTTACCTATCATCTTAAACTTCTGGGATTATTGATTTCTCAGTAGGTGTCAGGGGCAGGTTGATTATGAGGTCATATATGTGAATCTCCTTGGTATATTAATTAGATTATAAGTTATGTCTGTGTTTATATTAGAAAGTTTTTTCTACCTGAGCCATGAAAAGCATGTTAATTAAAGCTGGCTTGCACATGATAGGCATGTTAAGAGTTTAAATATTATTATTGAACCCTACTTGATCTATTTAAATTTTTTTTGGACTAAAATGGTTTTTCAATAAAAGCAAATCTAGCATCAAGAGTACCTAGGAAGAAAATTACCCAATCAACAATAAGAACCTTCTTTGCCCCTGCAGCCTGAGCTGCTAATGCAGCAATTGCTGCATTATTGTGGAGGCAGAATCCCATGGCCTGTCTTACACCAGCATGATGACCTGGGGGCCGAACCTGACAAATTAAAATATTTTACAGAAAATATTAACACTAGATTCGGTAAGGATTCCAACATATATACAAACTATAACTATTCATACCAGAGCAAATCCATTTTTGGCACGTCCAGAAAAAATTGCTGCAGCAAGATCTGCACACAATCCTGCTGCAAGCCTAGCAGCACGCGCTGAATGCTCATTAGCATATGTGTCAGGAGTAAAGTAACTGTCAATCAAGAATAGCCAGTTAGCCAAGGAACCAATCTCATTTCCTCAAAGTCTTCAATCCTGGATCACTAGACTGCAACATCAAGGAATGGGATTGTGCAATTCAAAAAATTTTATCGCAAACTAACTCTTTGATAGTAACTACCTAATGAGAGATACTCACCACTATAAAATCATACTGGCATCGCTTGTTCCCCTTCACCCATTCCAAGGACTACAATTTAAAAAATGACTGCCTCATCTTACAAGGCAAAATTAGATCAGATTTGACCGCCTCCTCTTCAGGTCTAAACTCCCCACTGAATTAGAAATAGATTTATATTGCCCCCAACCTTTTAGACATATAAACAGATGCCCTCAACCTATATAATATACTTTCTACAATGTGGAACATGTACAAACTGACCACAATTGACTAGCTCTCTGAATCAGTTATCAGTAACTTTAATTATCTTTTCAAGTTTAGATGGATATAATCCACCACCTTAAAGTTCTTATTACAAAAACTAAGCCAACCAAACTTTCTCTATCAAGCATCAATTTCCATTATGAACAACAGTTACTAGCAGATCACAGTTTTATTTGAGTGAAGGAAAGAGAAAGAAAGACAATGAGTGCGATTAATAAAAGATGGTCAATTGACAAACCTAGCATATATATGACTTGTAAGTTCAACTGCTTCAATCTGCTCCATGGAATGAACCTATGGATTCCCAAATTAAAAAATCAGAAATATTATAAATTTATCACCCAAGAAATAAAATATTTCTACTTGAAAAAGAATAGAAAATAAAATGGTCAAGTTGACCACCAAAGTAACATATTCTCATGGCACCACAGCTCGAACAAAATACACAGACAGAAAACCTTACTTGCTATTGCAATTGTATCTACGACATGCCACAATCCAGAATATCACTAACTGACAAACTCACTCTCATTACCATACATTTCTGCTTAATGATTTCAGATCATAAACCCCTAAAACAATATCAGTAAAGGCTAAGCATACCCAACAGAGCCTTAGTATGCCATTTGAGTTAATAATTGGCCACTCACCATCTTAAGTTCTTCTCGCGTTATTTCTCTTGCAGGTATCGGATAGCATCTTCCAGGAAATATACCTGCAGAGGTTGAAGCTTGTCAATATGTTTACTTGAAATAAGGATTAGCAGAAAGCAGTGGAAGAGGTGAGATAACCAGTTCAACAATAATCAATTCCCTAACATAAAATAGATTTGCTTCAAAGAAAATACCAGCAGTAGCCAGGCTAGCAGCAATAGCTCGAAGACGGTCTGCTCTTTCAGGATGTGGATGTGACTTCATCTCAACCTACTCTAGCAAAGCAACAAGAAGATCAGAGTGTAAATATTTAAATATTTAAAAAAATGAAGAGAAAAAAGTTAAAAGAGAGGCAATTTCCAGCCACTTACAAAGATGGATAAACAGAATATGGGGTATCATAAATTTTAAAGGTTCAAAATACTAATAAATGTAAACTATGAAATTGAATATAATATGCATTTCTAGAACTCTAAAATGTTTTATTTTTCCATATACCAATTTACCATGGAATTAGTTTTGTAGATCTCAAGTTCATGAAACGAATGTGCATTACCATTCAAGGAGAAAAAAAAAGACGGAATCCCACCAATGATTGCGAATCCACTAGATTGAAAGCTACCATTTATGGAACTTACCATTTTCATCAGAAAAGGTTATTAAAAATATTTTGATACAAATAAATATGGGATTTAAAAATTAAATTCTATCATTCCATATTTAGAATTTTTGGCCGCCAAAACTTATCATCTGCAATGTTCATGCACATACATATTATTACATAAAAACCGTAATTCCATGTCAATCCCAATTCAATTAGACGTTTTAACAAAGCATGTTGAGCCACAAAACCATACTTCTGAGTGCAGCAACATTCTCTCATCAAAACCTATTGCCGTGCAACTGCTGGAGACTGAAACTCCTGAGCGCAATTCTGGAAAGACAAAGAAAAAAAAAGTACGGCAGCAGTATGTCAATTATACCAGTGGATAATATTAATATCCTTGTTCATGGTGAGGAAGGAAAGAGAAACTGAGAATGTTGAAAACCATAATATCAACACAGGATAATAAAATATGACAACATATTAAGTCAATATCTGATCAGATAAATTCCATATTGATAGCATTAGCTTAATATCTAAAGAGAAATATAGTCACTCGAAATACTAGGGAATCTCGTTGTTATTACTCAAAGAAGCATGAAACGTCAGCTTGCATATTCGTCCATTGGTCAAATAGAATATGTAATTATTGGAATACTTGTTCAATACTCAAATGGTGGATATGTGAGAATGATAACCATCTTCAAACTTGGATAACAGATTGAAAGTATTGTCAACTTATAAGCAAGAACATGAAGTAGATTATGTCCGAGCGAGTATTTTGTCTGTGTAGTAGTAAGAGAAAATGTTATAGCACTGCAATCACTTATTTCAGATGTTTAAAATTGAATGCCTATACTGGTTAGAAAACCTGTGACCTAAGGGATGTTTTACGGTTTAGCAATGGAGGCTTGAATGCCTATACTGGTTAGAAAAGTAGAAACCTGATTTCCGTATTCTTAACTTTGATAACAACACCTTAAATGCTCTAAGCAGAGTCCCCCCCCGCAAAAAAAAAAAAAAGATAATTTAATTAAATCAAAGCTGCTTCATAGGACGTGTGCAGCATAAAAGACTCTGGTTTTGAAATGAGAGCGTCCTGTTCAATGAAAAACTGATGATAGTCAAGCAATGACTAAGGCCATTATAGATGAAAAATTGCAATAGCCTCTATAAGGGCTTAATACTCAACAAGTAAATGATAAATTCCACAGATTAGGCCAACACGTGCAAGCTTCTATTTTTCCACTACTACACAAAATATGCCAGATGGTTGACCCACGGTGCTTCAGTCATAATGAAACATGCTCAGGGTCCACACAGAAATGATGCCCCCTCAACATGATTAACCACAAACACCATTATTTCTAATCAAAATAAATAATCCCATAACACAATAAAGCAATTTCAATATCCTATCTAGAGAATCCAGAACTATTTATATAATTTGAATACGAAACTTCATTGGCATATTTCAAGAAGAAAAATAAAAAGGTAGAAAACAATAAAAAAAATTTGGGTTCAATAAGATTTGGCCACATGACAATGAAAATACCATACAGAAGACTTTTAGCCCAAAAAAAAAAAAAAAAAAAGACAAAAGGTTTTCTTAACAATAGTAGCCATATCTAAAGAATCTAATAACAAACCACCTTTATATTTCTCTTTAACTTCTGATTCAACATCCATAAGACCATCTTGGAAAGGAGAAGCAAAAAATCCATGCCTTAGAATACCAGACTCTTTATGCTCCCCACATATCTGCATGGACGAAATGCACCAAATCAGAGCCCCGATTATTCTTTGAAACAGATAAATGAAATGGCAGAATAACGTCAGAATTGCGTTATACAGATTTTTTTTTTTTCTTTTTTCCAATTGCAAATATTATCAATTTATTTCCACTAAAAGCATAATACTGGTAGACATACATCACAATGCACAATATCATCCAGGTTGACCATTGTACAGTTGGTACAAAACCACTTCATAATCTCAACATGCTTTTGCATGGGCTCCCAGTCACTGTCTTCCTCATCGTCGTCATCAAAGGAGTCTTGGTTGTACATATCTTGTAAAGTCATTTCCCTCTGTACCCTTGCCTTCTTCTGCAGATAAATAACATAATGCATAATATATTCAAAACTTGGGCATAAATCACAGTTCCAGACAATCAAATTTATTAATGTGTAACACATATAGTGTTTCACATACAAATACAACATTGCTTGAGTGTTCGTATCTACATCTTCAGTTGCATCTCAGCTGAATTCATACCATTTGTACCTCAGTACAATTTTCAGCATCAGGAGTAGCAATGGTGCCATCAGAGCCCAAATTTGCATGTCTTCTTTTAAATTCTTGATGTGGGTTCTGTAAACCTTCTTTGTGAAGACTGTTCTCAGCCTCTCCATTTGATAAACGACCTGCTGGAAGTGCTTTTGTAGCCATATTGTGTCCAGAGTTCACATGTGATTTTCCACCAAAATCATTCCTTCATTAAAAATATAATCATGAGTCAATAATTTCAAAGAATTTTGAATATATTAATATGATATTCAAACTCTCAAAATTTTATAAAAATTAGATCAAAAGGACAACTCTCTAGCACACGAAAGAAAAGAAAGAATATGCAGTGAAAGGGCCCAAAAGGGTAGAGTGGGTAAAAACAGAAAAAATAGAGAATGTGAGGAAACTTGCAGGTAAAAGAAGTACCAGAAACTACAATGCTCAAAAATCAACAGTTCAATAGAAAATGAAGTCTCTTAATGGAAAAAATGCAGGCAGCAAATCAGCAAAGAAGTTGAATTTTGAATTCCAACATAACATTTATAATATTCACCACCATCTGGCTTAACTAATCATATTTTGCCAAATATCATCAGATCTGTAAGGGTTGAAATTATAATAGAAAGTGTAAAAGCACACACAGATTGGGCTGCTCAGGTACCATTAGGTTATATTTTAATCATTTTCAAATTCCAGACAAGCCTTCAAATTTTAACTATATACAGTATATAGGTTATACTAAATGGCCCTCTCCTTTTTAAACAAGATTACTTCATAAGTTGTAGCTATTAAAGCATAGCTATTACAACGAAGCACTTTGATTGACCAATATTCCAGCTGGCATGTATTATCAAGATTTGGCTATGCATATGTTATCTCAGCTACTAAAAGTCTGCTCAACTAGATAAATCAAATGAATAAATGAAATCTACATAAACTACATTAAGTGATATTGTCTAAAATAATAAAATGGCCACAGTAAATGAATCTCAGTCTCTACTCTGACAGTATGTAAAAAGTAATAAATCTCTCCAAATAGATAATTAATCATTTAAACCTGATACTGAATACATAAGAGTTAATGCAAACTGAGCTTGTCCAAAGTAATACGATTTTATATATCATATTCATATACTACATGTCATTGGAAAAGTATTATAACTGTTTTGTGCATATCCATTGCATTATAATTTTTTTTTTCATTGCAAGGAAAGGTCCATATATTGCCTTGAACATTGGACAACCAATTCAAATGATGCCAAGACAATACAAGCAAACTCTCTTGTCCCAAATCTATTACTTCCAACAGAGGTTTCAAAATAACTTCTTCCATTTGCAGTGAATGCACAGAAAATACACTGTGAAATCTAATAACTGTTGATTCAATGTGTACTGAATTAATCTAAAGGCGACAGCTGCAATAGTAAAACTAACGAGGCAAACCAGATAAAAAAACTTATTAACCTAAACACTAAAACTAATTTCTTTATTTTGACTGATACTGTCTATAGCACAATAATAAAACTATTTTTTCTTTCCCTCTTCGTCTCTATCCTTCTTGCCAAAATTCGTCTTCTGTAATTCAAGTTTCAACCTTTTTCATACTTAAAAAATTTATGAAAAAAAAATTTTAAGGGGTTTTTAAAACACATTAAAGGGTTAACAATGTATGTTCTATTTATAACTAGAATTTTAATGTTTTTCATTTTTGCGAGACAATTTTCTTGACAAAGCGACTGTAAACAAACAGGTCACAGCCAAACTTACCCAGTAAAATATCACGAGTGAAAGTGTAAAATAAAAAAATAAAAATAAAAACAACGAAAAAAAAAACCCATTTATAAATGAGTAAAAACAAATTAAGGGTTAACAATGTATTTTCTTTTTATAACTAAAAGTTTAATTTTTGCCTTAGTTGGAAGATTTTCTAAGCAAAGCGACAGTAAACAAATAACTTACAGTTAAACCTAACTAAAAAAAATTATCACATAAGTGAAAGTAAAAACAAACAACAAACCCATTTGGATATGAGTGAATAAAATGTGAAATAAGCTAAAAATTACAGCAAAAATACGCAAAGCATGAGCATTTTGTACCGGAAGATGAAGATAAACTGATAAAAACGAAATGAAAAATGAGTAAGGCTAAAAAGATCGGAATTTGCAGAGGTTTAAAGGGTTTTGTGATCTTACCAGGGGCGGAGTAGGGCAAATCGGGAGGTGTCTCGATGCAAATTCGATAAATTTGAGGGAGGAGAGAAGGTGGCGACTTTAAAATTATGCTATATTGTTGTAGGGACTCTAATAATCTTTCGTTTTTACATTTGGCGCTCTTTATTTTGTGTATTTAACGTTTTCCCCTAATTTTTGTTATTACTGTTGGGACCTAATAGGTTTTAGTGATTCTCCGTTAACGCCCCTTGTGAATTTATTTCTGGAGTAAACAACATTTACCCACCCAAAGTTTAATGAATCTACCAGTTCCAACCCATGGTTTCATAAAATCTAGGTTCCACGTATGGTTTTATAGGGTCCGTTTGGTTAATTATTTCATACCCTATTCCCAATCCTATTTCCAAAATAACTGTTTGTTTAATTATTTAGGAAATACTATTATATTTTTTTAATTCTTTAGACCCTTTAAGTTTATTAATTTCATTAAACATCCCTAGATTAAAAAAGTTTAAAAATTAACAAAAATATCCCCACCCACCCATAGTTGCTAGATTTCGGCAACCACCGTCGATGGTAGCTTGAATCTGTCACAATGGCTTACAAACTACCGAAACAGGCCGGTAATTCGCCGATCTGGCCTTTTTCAAACAGATCTAAAGTGGATCTGGTCGAAAAAGGCCAGATCTGACCGCCATATCTTTGGTTGTCGCTAACGGCCAGATTTGACCTTTTGCAGCCGTTGACGACCATATCTGGCATTTTCCAGCTAGATTCGTGGTGGATCTGGCCAGAACGACGCACGTCCGGCCAGATCCGATCGGTTTGCGTCGTAACGTCAGATTCCGACGGTAGTAGCCAGAATCTAGCACTGTGGGTAGGTGAGAGTGTTTTTGTCAGTTTATAAAATTTTTATATATTAGGGTGTTTAGTTAAATTAGCAAACATAAGGTTTTTTTTAATTAATTTTTAAATTTTACCTTGTAATAATAACCCTATTCAACTATCTAAATGGACCCATAAATTCCAGGTTCTCACCCATAGATTAATACCATTAGTGATTTTTTTGGTATAAAACGTGTTACTACCAAATTACCCTTAACAAATAAATTAATAATTTCTTTTTAACCCCCAAAATCAGTATAATTAAAAGATAACCATATTACTTTCAAATTTATTTAAATAACACCCTCTTCTTCAACCCTAGATTGAAATCTGACTCTCGCGCCCCTGTGACCCTAGATCCGCCGCAATCTGCCTTTCTTCACCACCATCTCCCCCCCCAAAACCATCAAGTTAGCAACCACGACCACCCAAACAAGCGGCAATCGCGCAAGGGAAAATGATTTGTACCATATGCCAATATAGTAGTTGCGAGAGTTCCCTGGAGTGAAGAAACCCAGTTCAAATATTCCACCCGCAGAGATTAACGTCTGTTTTCCTGAAAGAGTCTGGCTTGGTGAGATTGTATCAGACCCTTTAGAGAAACGGATTTCAAAAAATAGAAACAAGAGAAGCAGCAAAAACACAGAAAACCATGTTTTCTTGATTATAATAACCTTTAGCAAATTTGTAGCAACCAGCTAAATTGGCTATAATTGTTTGTGTATAATATTATACTCGTTCCAGTTGAAGTATGACTTTTCATAAAAAAAATCCCCAGTAATTATTAAGCAATCTGCTTCTTAAAGTCTTCCCATACCACGATATAAGTTCTAAGAATGTTTGACTAAATGCAGCGTCTCAAATGTCAGCTTTAATTGTCGCTGCAGCGCCTGGAAACTACAGATCTGGGTCGCTGGAGCGCAGGGGGTGGGCGGAAATCGGCCAGACATTCAACTGAAAGTGGAAAAATAACACGCCCGTCCAGCCGTGGCGGGTTAAGCAAAATGGCATACCGGGCCGGGTTAGACCCGTCTTTTGGCTAGAAGGGTTGGCCCAAGCTGGCCTGCCAACCCTAACCCGACGGGTTTTGATGCGGGTTGACCTTGAATTTTTTATATTTTAAATTTTTTTTTTTAAACTAACTTTTCGAATATCAATAATTCAATTCAATTAATTTTTGTTGTTAACATTTCAAATATTAATTCAATTTTAATACAATTAAATTGTAATATAAGAAAAATTAGATTTATTCATTTACAAAAAATAAAATAAAAAATTACAACAATTATTGCCTTATTAAAACCTTACCAAGAAAAACCTAATTGGGACAAAAACTAGGTAAGGAAAAAAGAATGTAATAATTAACAATTAATTTACAAATTACAAAGTTACAAAACAACTAATTTGGGGGTTGATTAGGACCTCCCTCATATGTATCATCTATATTACAAAATTAAAATGATTTTATTAAAGTATCGTCGATACCCTCGTATTGATCCTGATGGCACGACCATTCCCAATTTTGAAGACATGTGAGGACTTCAATCATTTTTTGTGAAAGTTTAGTCCTCCTTTCATTTAAAATTCTTCCATTTGTATTAAATGTTTTGTTCAGATGAGACGGTTGAGACAGGAACTGAGAAAACATCCAAGGCAAGTCTTGATAATACCAGAAAAATACATTTTCTGGTTTTCCAATATTCTTAGACATCAAAGTTGGCTTTTTGTTGTGGATCTGCTGGTAGCACGTCAGGGGTTCTCAAATATTGGTAAAGCTCATTACTCTGTAGCTGCATGGAGGA